AACTGTAATTGTGATCTTTTTAATTTACAAAATGCCAAAAGTTACCCAAAGGAAGCGCCTGACGGTTGCACAGAAGCTGGAGTTAATTAAGAAACTTGATAAAGGATATTCTCATGCACGAGCAGCAGCAGAGTTTAACATTCAACATAATTGTCAATAGTGAAGTAGAATTAGAACTCATGTGAATTAGTAGTAAGGCTAGCTGTTGTGTGAAGTGAGTGCCTGAAAATAAGTGTACATACAGTATGTACCCTGTATACAATATAAACAATATAAAACAAGCGCGGCAGAGGATGACGTAATCATCACAGCTTCGTAATCTTCAGCTTCATTAAAAGTAAGTCAATTTACCAATTTTATTATAGTATTACAAGATATTAATTGTTTTTTTTCAACAAAAGCTACATATTAGTTTCTGCAAATGTATATTCTATCGTCAGCAGAGAATAGGCGAGCTCAAAATATTTCGTCTTGGCTAGCTCTCAGTGACAAGGCTCGATCGCCATTGTTATGGCATGGCCGCCACAGCCTGTGTTGTAACATTAAAAGTAAGTCAATTTACCAATTTTATTATAGTATTACAAGATATTAATTGTTTTTTTTCAACAAAAGCTACATATTAGTCTCTGCAAATGTATATTCTATCGTCAGCAGAGAAAAGGTGAGCTCAAAATATTTCGTCTTGGCTAGCTCTCAGTGACAAGGCTCGATCGCCATTGTTATGGCATGGCCGCCACAGCCTGTGTCGTAACATTAAAAATACATTACCTGCACTGTTCAGGGTAAATCAAAACACATCTCTAAAATTTTATTAAGACAATATTAACTCACTGATTGATACATGAAATATTTTTCAATACAAAGGAATGAATCAATTTTTTCCCACCCATCTGGACTTGATCAGAGCGTGTTCACACATCATCCATGCAGCAGCCAGCAACTGGCTTAATCATCGGCCGTGCACTAAATTGGAATGCAATTACACAATGAACTTTATTTAATTTTAGTTATACAGTATAAAATATATCCTACCTGAATGTTACTTGAAAAATTACCCGACCCGACTTAACTTCGGAAATAACGGAGCTCCGTAAATAACGACTAGGGCTCAGCCCCATATAGGCTGTTAAATTGAGTGGATACTGTACAAAGAGCAATGGCTTCAAGCTCAACAAGCCAAGTTGTAGAACAGAAAACATGAGATTCTTTTTCACCCATAACATTTTAAACCCATGAACCGCCTGCCTGTCAAAGCTGTAAATACCAAAACATTAGCGTAGATTAAAATCAAGCTGGATAAATCATTAGAAAAATTGTATGATCACTGACAAGCTGCTGGCTTCCTGTCCTCATTGAGGCCATGAAGGAGGTGGTTTCCCCTCGGGCAAATACAGGTAAATTTTGGTTTTATGAATCTGCTTGCTGTACATTGCTGTACCACAGCATAAGGAAAGAAATTCAATTGCAGCCACTTCCTTCACTGAAGTACAAGGTTGCAATGCAGCAGATATTGAGGCAGTTTACAGCAGCAAATTAGTTAACCTAAATTTTGATACAGAATAATGCAAAAATGTAACCCTGCCAACAGCACTCGAAGCTTCAGAAATTTATGACAAAAAATTATAGGGAAGCTGGGATATAATTTCATAGCTCTTATCCTGTACATTTAACCAAATACCAGGGAAAACAAGCATGAAATATATAAACTTATGCCAAGTCTATGTTAACCTAATACTGTACAGGACTGTGTGAAGAGTATACAAGTACAGTGCACTGATCAAATACCTCCATTAGGCTAAGTTTGTTAGATTAGTTCAGTTACTTTCTATTTCTAAAAACTAAATAGGGCCTGATGGCAGGGGCTTTTGTATAGGCCCCAATAAGAATTATGGAACATTGGTTTTGCACTTTTAAGTACTGCATGTACTTAAATAACATTTACTGGGTGCAGTACCACTGTAGTTATCATAAGAAATGGGAATACAGAAAATGGTCAGCAGCTGTATCATCAATTTGTGTAATCACTATAATTAATATTGTCTACATGAAGAAAATACTTAAAATATGCCTGAAATTATAAAGCATCGTGAAAAATGAATCAGTCTTAGGAGCCAAATGCTTTGGGGCTAGATTCACGAGAGCACTTACGCAAGCACTTACGAACGTGTACATCTTTCCTCAATCTTTTGACGGCTTTGGTTACATTTATTAAACAGTTTACATGCATGAAAACTTCCCATTCAACTGTTGTTATTGTTAAAAACAGCCTCATGGTGCTTCGGAGCTCATTAACTGTTTAATAATTGGAAACAAAGCCACCAAAGATTGAGAAAAGTTCGTAAGTGTTCTCGTGAATCTGGCCATCACTAATCCATCACTAATAAACAAAAATATCACTGGATATTTTTGAGGGTGGGGGGGGACCTATTCAGAGGTTAGGTTTATTGGAGCAGGCTTAACAACTTCCAACTCAACTAATAAATGATACTGGCTGCACATCTTATTTCAGACACTAATTTAATCACAAATGAAAACACAAATTTTACATAATTATAAAAATGGTACAGTACTTCCATGATCCGACAATTATGATAACTTATTTATTAGCAGTCCCAGTAGCATAGTGGTAACACACCCGCCCGGCACTGTACGAGCGCTTTGGCCTGGGTTCGCATTCTAGCCGGGGAGGATTAACTAGGCGCCAATAGTTAACTGTAGCCTTTGTTCACCAAGTAGTGAATGGGCACCTGGTTGTTAAACGATTTGGCGGGTCTTATTCCGGGGAAAATTAGGATTAAGAACTTGCCCGAAACGCTATACGTGCTAGTGGCTGTACAAGAATGTAAGAACTCTTGTATTAAACAAAAAAAAATAACCAGAGTATGGTCACACTGGTTGGTTCAGAAATTGAAATTAAAAGTGAAGCAATAGTTTTTATTTTGTAACTTTTGTACACCCACATGATACAATGCTTCAAACATTATCATACCTTACCTTACATTTACCTTGTGTTGGCTCTGAAGATGAACATCCCTGCAGCCTGGTCTCTGACCATGCCTCCTAGTTGGTAGTCTGGTCAACCAGGCTGTTGGACACAGCTCCCTGTAGCCTTTAGTATCAATTGGAGGCGTTTCTCAAATTCTCTTTTGAACACCCTGAGAGGTCAGCTAGGTATGTCCTTTATGCTTAACATTTTCTGCGGATCAGGACTCCTCCCGGCGTCCTGTTTCGCCTACCCGCTCCCGCTAAGTGGACATAAATTTATGTCCTCTTTTAAAATATTTGTATAAAATTCAATTTTTATCCGATTTACTTTGGGTTTGTTTCAAACTGCGTGCCATGAGGCTCTCTTTCTCACCAATAGGCTGCATGGTACAATAAGTTCATGAAAAGTTCACAAACATAACAAAAGTAAAAACATTTCGTGTGTGTTTGACTCTCACTGATATGTTCCAGCGTTATTTTATATTTGGCGCTATTCTATCTTACGCTTTGTTGATCTTTTTTACCTACGGGCTCATAGAACATTCTATTGCGAACACATTGACACAAAAATGAATGACGTACATAGAATAATAATGTCATGAGAGTGAAATAAGTATAAACTTTCAAAGCGCCGTGCGTCGTCCCGTCACCGATACCGGGTAACAATTTCACCACTTCCCACACTCTTGCAGGCGGGCCATAATCATTATTCTACGCTTATATTCATATCACCGTGTTGGGAATTTCATTGCGAGTCCATTGATACCAAAATTAACACTGTAGGACAAGTGTGGAGGTGATAACAATCCCAAGAGTAAAAACATTTTGTTGCTGTTGGGCGCTCACGGAGTCATCTTCGTAGTTATTTATTTGGTGCTGGTATCCCTATACATTTCGTGACTTTTTTACTGATGTTCTTCTAGAGAATTTTATTGCGAACACGTTGGTACCAAAATGAAATACGTAGCTCGAGAACTAAGGTCAGGAGAGTAAAAAGAGTATACACATTTTTGTTTTTACGCTTACGCGGCAAAACGCCGGGAGCACATACGTTTTTTTTTTTACCTTCGCCGGGAGGCTGAAAGTGTTAATAAAAGTGAGTATTAATGTCTTGGGCTCTTGATATTGATAGAATTCTCTCTCAGCATATTTATTGCACATCTGTATTTCAACATAGCTACTTTGCACTTCCTGCCATACCTCACAGTTGCGTGTGGAGTTATTTTTGTGTGCAGGTTTAGAACCAGTTCCTTTTATAATTTTCAAGTGTAAATTATGTATTTCTCCCGCCAACACTCTAGAAATACAGATTTTAAAAATTTAAGCAGTCCCAATAATTTAGATGTTTTATTGAGTTGATTCTAGCAGTGAAAACCTTTGCACATTCTCCACGTCAATAATTTCTCCAGCTTTGAATAAGGTTGTTATTGTGCAACATTCCACCATGAGTGTCTTAAAAAATATCTCACTGGTCTGGCATCTCTTGTTTGATTCATGTTTTGGGTTAAGATAGGTTTATAAATCAGAAGGCCTATGCAAACCACCTCGAGTCTATGTATGAAGTGACCTATATACTTGATAATCTTAGATGCTGCTCAATATATAAACAACATAAATATTATCCTTCACGAGATGAAAATAACTCTTAAGTGATGCATTAAGACAAGAGCACAAGCCGCAGGGCCGATGTGTTTCCTTGACGGCTGCTGGTCATACATCATTAACGACGCACGCCATGTCAAAACCCCACACAGGTGGCCACCCAGATATTACCTGTGGCCCCCAGAGTGTGGCCAGGAGGCTGGGAGTGTGGCCAGGGCACAGCCTCACCCCCGCACACCCTACACATCCCTCCACCCACCATGTAAACACACACAAGAACCTACCCACTCTCCTTATTCCTGGCCAACTACAGGTTTCATCCACCCCCCTCGTCAGCAACGAGGCTCTGGTGCACCCACGCCACCACCTCATTACCTCTACTATCCCAAAATACACGAAATATTGCATTTTACCCGTTCAAGTAGACGACGCCATTACTCCGCAAGCCATCGCCGTCCACTCCCTTGTTTATGTCAGCTGGCGTGACGTCACACGCGCGAGATTTAAAGTAATTAAATGCCACGAAATAATACATAATGTATTACACAATATAAACCAGTTACAGCGACCGCTGCATTATCATCCTAGAGTATATAATGGGAACAAAGGAGTTGGTTAGGCCAAGAAACACGCTGAGGAAGAAGAGAGATTACAAAAACCAAGCCAAGACAATCTACTATGAAAATAGAGGTAACATAAAAAAAAAAAAATGGTACACTATTTCTCGGATATTAGGATCAAACATTCCCTCCTTTCAATGAATGAATGATTCCCTCCCTTAGGATTCTCTCCATTAGCTTGCAGATTTGTGATATCAAGGTGACCGGAAGGTAGTTTTCTGTTAAAAGAAGAATCCTAAGGGAAGGAATCCATCTCACAGCGAGCATGGGTTTGTTAAAAAACAGATCCTGCCTTACAAACATGCTCACATTTTTTAAAACGGTAACAGCTACTCAGACAAATGACTTCCGGTGGATATAGTTTAAGAACATAAGAATGAAGGTAACTGCAGAAGGCCTATATGCACATACGAGGCAGCTCCTACTTATAACAACCCAATCTCATTCATATATATATATCTAACCTACGCTTGAAACAATCAAGGGATCCAACTTATATTATGTTACTCAGTAATTGGTTCCACAAATCAACAACCATGTTCAAGTTCAAATACGTTTATTGAGACAATAAAATACATCTCAAAAGGATAGAGTAGCTTAGGCTATTTCTACTCTCCTCTACTTCAAGTCCCTCAAGGGGCGCACAATTCCAGTGAGTACAAATCCACAAATCCCAGTACAAGAATCACATTTAACATTGCAGGTTAATATAGTAAACATAGCATATACGTGCTACACTCTTCCTTCTTCGTAACTCTTCCTTGACAGATGTAATACACCCATAATCTTTTTATCAAGATTGCATCAACAGCACTTTATCATAATCAAAGCTTTTGATACAGTGCCACATGAAAGACTGATTAAAAAGATAGAGGCTCATGGTATTGGAGGTACTATATTAAGTTGGATTAGGGCATGGCCATTTACCAAAGGAAACAGAGAGCTAATATAAATGGGTTTAAGTCAGACTGGGAAAATGTTGTAAGTGGAGTGCCTCAAGGCTCTGTCCTGGGACCTCTGTTGTTTATAATATATATAAATGATTTAGATTCAGGTTTGAGTAGCAACATTTGTAAATTTGCCGATGATACAAAAATCGGCAGAGATATAAACACGGAAAAAGACTCATTATCACTTCAAGCCGATCTAAATAGGGGTTTGAAATGGTCAAAAGATTGGCAGATGCAGTTTAATGCTGATAAATGTTTTGAGGTTAAGTAATGGTGATAGAGTTACAAGATACGAGCTAGATAGTGTTGAGATTGTGAAAAGGATCTAGTAAGGGAACTATCAGGGGAAAGCGCCAAGCCGTTACGAGTATATAGCACTTTGAAGGGGATCAGGATAAGGATTTGGGATGGAACGGGGGAAAGGAACGGTGTCCAACCACTTAGACGGTCGGGGATTGAACGCCGACCTGCATTAAGCGAGATGTCATTACTTCTTTCCTTATTCCTATACTTATCAATACTATAGTAGGCATCTTTCAGTCTCGGGAGACTATGGAGATGCGCTCTGGTTGTCAAGGCTGGAGTGTCCTCTCCAGGGCGCAAAACTTGGGTAGGTAGATATGGAGGAGAAGCTGTTACCCATGCAGCAGGTCCCCTCTCTCCACGTTGCTGAAATTATCCAATGGAAAGGCAAAGGCCAATACACATGGTTCCAGCACCGTCGCAGGAGCTGCCAGAACGAGGTCGAAGTCAACAACGAACTGCCTTAGGGGCTCTAACTCCGGATTTTTCCTCGAGGTTGTCTCCTGAAGCCTTTCCCCAAAAAAAGGGTATGGCCGCAAGGCAGCGGAGGTTTAAAATAAGGGTTTCCCTTCCCCAAGATGGGCTGCCTTCCCAGGCTATCGAGTCCCATCTACCCGGAGCAGCTGGTTTTAAGGCGCCAGGGGCACGTCCTCGCCCCTTCAAGTCCGCATATATACACCTGTCAGTAAAAGCAGTTCCGCCGGACTTAAAGACTAATCCACCCGTGCAGGCCAGGAGTTGGACTTGGTTGTCAGAGGCTATTTGAGACGCACGCCGTATGGGAGCTTTTTATAGGTCATGGGAGCTTGTCCCCTATTACCACCCCTTGGAACCAACTTATCTTATCAATAAGTTGACAGTAATACATAATTATCTAAGGTGTAGGCGTGCGGCATGCTTCATAATTTACACTTCTTATCTTTTTCACTAACATCAACACCGTATCGCCAGATATATTTGGATCCTCCTCTCTTAATATCTTGTAAATTGAATCCTTCCAAGTAAACTTTTCTGTCCGAGGCTCACTTCGCTATATCTCATCACCCGCCTCATTCATCAGTGTTCCCACATGTGAAGGGATTCACATGAATCTTGCTTTATACCCATTTTTCCTAATGTCTTAACATTCTCTCTACACTCAATCGTAATATTCTCGTATACTGATCGTCTGCTATCTAAAGACTCCAACGCTCCTCTATTGTCCATAAAGAAACGGGTATTTTTTTTTACCAGATTTGACTACTTCCTGTAATCCTGTTAATACACCTCGATTAGGGCATGGCTATACCAAAGAAAACAGAGAGTTAGTATAAATGGGTTAGTTATATATAAATGATTTAGATTCAGGTTTGAGTAGCAACATTTGCAAATTTGCCGATGATACAAAAATCGGTAGGAAAATTAACACAGAAGAAGACTCACTCTCACTTCTAGTCGATCTAAATAGGGTTTTGAGATGGTCAAAAGATTGGCAGATGCAGTTTAATGCTGATAAATATAAACTTTTGAGGCTAGGTAATGATGATAGAGTTACAAGATACGAACTAAATGTGTTGAGATTGCGAAGTCGGATTGCGAAAGGGATCTGGGAGTTATGATAAGTAAGAATTTAAAACCAAAGGATCAATGCATGAATATTCGTAATAAGGCAAATAGGACACTGGGATTTATTAATCGACGTGTTAGTAACAAGACACCTGGTGTGGTTCTTCAGCTATATCTTGCTCTGGTTAGGGCCCCATTTACATTATGCAGTTCAGTTTTGGTCGCCGTATTATAGAATGGATATAAATTCACTTGAACGTGTCCAGCGTAGGATGACTAAGTTAATTCCCCCAAATTAGAAACCTGTCATATGAAGAGAGATTAACAAAGTTTAAATTGTATTCACTGGAAAGGCGAAGAGTTAGTGGTGACATGATAGAAGTTTACAAGTGGATGTTGTTGTTGTTGTTGTTATAGATTCAGCTACTCGGAACAAGCTCCAAGTAGCACCGGCTATGGTGAGCCCGTAGTGGACTTACCTGGCACAGGAGCGATGCGTGATGATCAAAACAAGTGGATGAATGGACATAACAAAGCGAATATTAATAGGGTATTAAAAGTATCAACGCAAGACAGAACACGGAACAATGGGTATAAATTGGATAAGTTTAGATTTAGGAAAGACTTGGATAAATACTGGTTCGGTAACAGGGTTGTTGATTTGTGGAACCAATTACCGCGTAACGTGGTGGTGGGGTCCCTCGATTGTTTCAAACGTGGGTTGGACATGTTGGGACTGGAGTGGGAGTGGGTGGTTACAAATAGGAGCTGCCTCGTATAGGCCAATAGGCCTCTTGCAGTTATCTTTGTTCTTATGTTCTTATTACAACCTCTGAAGGAATGGCATGCTGTGGAAAGTATTTTTTTTATTATTATTATTTTCTACCGCAGACGTAGCCACACATTTACAATGTTAACCAGCATACATACATTTTCTTCTGTCCTCCATGGACAGGGTGAGAGTCCATGTGCTACTGGCTCCCGTGGTAGTCTGATGGCAGATTTTTATTGGGTGATGATGGGCTTGAGGTAGTTTGCAGTGGTGGAACCCCAAGCATGCACAGATACCGTATGTAAGATAGGGGATAGATTAGCGTGTAGTATCACGAGAGGAGAGCAGAGTTTGGAACATAATATGTGATTTTAGAAAGTATACCGATAGTTTGTTAAACTTTTTTGGTTATGTGTTGTATATGGGTGCTGAAGTTGAGTCTCTTGTCTATGTATAGGCCAAGGAACTTTCCATCATTTTTATTGCTGACGTTAACATTGTCTATCTGAAGCTGAATTTTATTTTCATTAATGGTATATTTAAGAGCTACAAGCATTTTACCCCAAGAGTGTAACACTTATATGCTGTGTTTACTATATTAACCTGCTATATGAAATGTGATTCTTGTACTGGGATTTGTGGATTTGTACTCACTGGATTTGTGCGCCCCTTGAGGGACTTGAAGTAGAGGAAAGCAGAAATAGCCTAAGTTACTCTATCCCTTTGAGATGTATTTTATTGTCTCAATAAACGTACTTGAACTTGAACCTTGGGTTTTGGTAAAATGAGAATGAATCTGATTGGAGAAATGAGGTGACTGAGGCACCACAGGGGTCCATTTTGGGACCAATTACTTTTGTCATAACCATCAATGATATAAATGAGAATATTACAAACTACATCGTCAAATTTCCAGATGACGCTAAGATTTATGGTAAAGTGGGAAATTAAAATGCTATTGAAACCTTATAAAAATCTACATGAACACCACAAATGGTCGGCAGACTGGCAAATGTTTTTTAATATCGAAAAATGCAAGACTTTGCATGTGGGGCATAACATTCCACGTCACAATTACCAAATTAATAAGATTATCCTCCAGCAGATTGATGAAGAAAAGAACCTTGAAGACAAAATCCACCATTCAATGAAAATTACACAACAGGTAGGATCAGCAGTTAAAAAAAACTAACCAAACTATAGGAATAATCAAGCGTGCCTTTGACTTTAAGGAAAAAGAAGGTAGTGATTTAACTGGAGTTTAAACAAAAACAGAGAATCATTTTACCTACCTAATAAATTCCATGTAATTAACCTACCTTACAATCTAAATGTCAACCCATGTCTTGCTATTTTCAAACAATACTGGTTGTTGACCAAACGCTGTGCGTATTAGTGGCTTTAGGTATTTATTGTATGTGATAGCTCTATCTATAGTGAGTTAGTTTAGTTCATTTATTATGCACCCCATACCCATCTAGTGGGCGGTAGTGGAAAGGGTTACAGAGGCACATAATGGGCTCAGGGACTGAACCCCACAATTTATTTAGCTAAGCAAGTTACAATCTTGATGAGATTTGTGTGTACGTCTGATACCATACTACTTGTGAAGGAGGAAATGTATATAAACATATACATACCTCTCAGAATGTTTGGTAATATGTTTATTTGTGATGTGTGTCTATGTATATATTAACACGTTGTACTGAATGGGGTGAGAATAGCTTGAGCTACCTTATCCCTTTGTGTGTATTTTACCTCAATAAACTTATTTCAATTTCAATTTCAATCTTGATGAGCTAGTTACAAAATTCAGTATAAGTCGTCACATCAACAATGGGTTCGAGATTTATAAATCCAATGTTATGTTTGTAACTCATCTACCATGTATATACTTTTTCTTGAATAAACATTTTGATTTTTCGTTTAATTAGTTTTTTTTGCTAGACAAGGGATAGTGGGCCGTGACACTTGTGAGGATGTTATTGTTTACATTTTCAGTGTAGTGTGAGGAGTGTTGGTGGAGCCTCGGGCGGCACAGGTTGGCACTCACAGGCACGGTAATGTTGTGGGCTGTGTGGGGGGAGGGGGCGATTTAGGAATGTATTAAAAATTAGTGATTATTAAAAACAAAAAGTATCCCGATTATACCTGAATGGTAAATTCAGTATCCTTGGATTTACAGTATATCAAAGATTCGATATTATGCATTAGTATCCAGGGCTTTTGTATTATTATTATTATTTATATATACAAGAGTTCTTACATTCTTGTACAGCCACCAGCTCGCATAGTGTTTTGGAGAAAGTCCTTAATCCTAATTTTCCTCGGAATACGACCCACTAAATAGTTTAACATCCAGGTACCCAGGGTCCGTCTAATTACCACAAGCTACCACAAGCTTCAGAAAGCTTCCTGGCAATACGTTAGTAATGAATAAATATGATATGTTAGGTTAGGCTAATCTAACCTAACCTAACCTAACCTATCCTAACGTATCCTAACCTAACCTAACCTAACTTAACCAAACCAAACCTAACCTAACCTAACCGACGCTTGGATCGTCGACTTGATTTGGCGTCACCAGCTTTTTATTTTCGCCTAATTTCTTAATAAAAAGATACTTTTTCAGATTAAAATTATGTTTTTTCGTGTTGTACATTCAGCACCAACATTATAATGAGTAAATATATCATATTTATTCATTACTAACGTATTGCCAGGAAGCTTTCTGAAGCTTGTGTAGCTTGTGGTAATTAGATGGACCGGGTACCCATTGTACTGTTGGGTGAACAGAGGCTACACTTAAGGACTGGCGTCCAGTACATCCTCCCCGGCCAGGATACGAAGCCAGGCCAAAGCGCTCGCAAAGTGCCAGGTGAGTGCTTTACCACTGCGCCACGGGAACTAAATACAGAGCTGGCTTCTTGTGTTCATCATGGCCACTAGAAAGATGATGGCCCTTAGGTAAATTCAGGTAATTTTTTTTCTCTATTAACTAGGGTCCTGACAGCACAGTGGTCTTCGTCACTGGCTCACGACAGAGAAAAATTTCATTTTCGCAGCAGCAAAGAAACATTTCCGCAGCAGCAAAGAAACATTTCCGCAGCAGCAAAGAAACATTTCCGCAGCAGCAAAGAAACATGTTTCGAAACATGTTTCGAAACATTGTTTTGAAGCATGAAACATGTTTTTGAAACATGAAATGTTTAAAAAATGAAAGATTTCATTTCACCGGATGACTCTTTTTACCTAGCAGTAAAATAGGTACCTGGGAGTTAGACAACTGTTGGAGTGGCTTGTACAGGCTTTCGGTTCCAGAGAACTGGGGAACCATTAGGTTAGGTAAGGATGAGATAGAATTGGCTTGGCTTACACAAAGAGTAGTGATGATGTAGTACTGTACTACAATATAGTTCCCGTTGGTTTTTTTCACACTTTATTACATATATAGCCGTTACTTTTGGGAATGGACTGAAAGTCACAGGAATCATACAAGATAAATAAATTCAATTACTAGGGGGCATAAATCCAATAATGTGAAATGAGATTAAAAGTAACATGAGAGTTGGGAACCTAGCAGATCAAGTGATTAAAGTCACAGACTCTGTGCTAATCTAGTGATATTTCACTAGTGAGAGCCATGCCAGGGGTTCAACGATAACTACCTCAGCCACAGCTACCCTCCTCATGCCCTTCATATCCCAGCATAGGTCAGCAATGATTTTACTGCATTATTGATATGCAAAAGACCTTCAATTTATTCTTGCAATGTGCACCTTTTTTACCACTTACAGCACTGCACCTATAATAACAGTAATAATAATAATAATAATAATAATAATAATAATAATAATAATAATAATAATAATACAGCATAATATTTTTGTTTTAAAAATACAATACCAGTACTGTACAGTGTTTATGTTGAGTATATACACTGGAAAATATATATACTGTATGTAACTATTTATATTTATCTGAATTTACCTAAGGGCCGCTATCTCTAGAAACCTTGATGGGGACAGGAAGCCGATACCTATCAATGGTCCTGCTTTGTTCCTGAGGATTTTTTCCAACTGGATTTTGAACTATAGTAATGTCTTGGTATTTAATTCTTGGTTGGAACTGTAGTAATGACTTGGTATTGTTAGTGTGTTAATTTTTTACAAGGCAACTAATTATGCAACGTAACTTTTGCAAGTCTTATAAACTAACACATAGGTTTACATAGTAACAATAGTTGACATTGAGCTAGAACAGAGGGAAAGATCACATGGCAAGGGTATAGATAGTGTCAGTAGTATTGGACCACCCACAGAAAGTCATATACACACACTGTATTGTTCCATTAATACATGTACAGTATTCTAAAACATGAATAAATATATATTTTTCAAATAATATTTATTAAAAAATGCATATTTAAAATACTGGAAGAATAAAGGTTTGAATAGAGATAAAACACTACGTCCCCATGGTGCAGTGGTAAAAACACTAGCTCGGAGCTTTGAGAACACTTTGGCCTGGGTTCGTATCAATCCTGGAGGATTGACTGGGTGCCAATCCTTAACTGTAGCCTCTGTTCACCCAGCAGTAAATGGGTACTGGGTTGTTAAACAATTTGGCGGGTCGTATTCCAGGGAAAATTAAGATTAAGGACCTGCCCAAAATGCTATGCATGCTAGTGGCTTTACAAGAATACAGGAATACAGCTTTACAAGAACTCTTGTATACAGTATATAAATAAATAAATAAAAAACTACTGTCTTGAGCAAGAAGCTTAATTGGTCCCTTTATCAATACTGTACCTCAGTCTCATGTTCGCTCTCAATAGGTGTATGTTTCTAATTGACAGTAAAGCTCATCCTGGATTCCCTGGACACTGCTGCATCACTTATGTGATTCCCACTTTGAGATGTGATTCACAAAGGACCACGTGCAAAAGGACTCAGCCTATGTCACCAAGTCAAAGGAGTCAAAGTATTAAGAAACTGTTGTTCCCTGGGTGCAGATATGCCAGCTCATCCCGTGTATGCTATTGGGGGTCTGTATCCCAGACGTCGTCAGCAAGCCTGGAAAGACCATGACAAAAACCTCATGTCTGGGGTAAGTGTCATTTTAGCTCATTTTAGCTTTAGTACTAGGCCTGATTAGTGGGTGTTGACAAGGCAGGCAGGGAGATATGTTGCCTTTAGGCCTACATTGCCTTTTTGTCAATGACTTATTTTATTGTACAACACTTGCAACAGTAAATACCCTCTTCTTGACCTAATCATTACATGAAATACACCATATACCTCTCAGTTGCTCATACCTACTCATCTATGCTAACATGAGGTGGTGGATGGGTATGATATCATACCTATTGTATGAAGTGTACGCCATTCATGACACCATTCTTTAGGCTTTTGTAGTATTTTGCTGTTGTATTGATTTAATCAGAGCTTGTTACTAAACCAATTCTTAAGAGATATCTAGTCTAACTACTGTAGTGTATAGTACAGTGCATAATGCAAATGTTACCGAATTTAAACAACAAATATTAATGTTATGGCATTCATTTGATATCTAATGCAGATCATCTGGCTATAAATATTGGATACACAAATGTTAGTCTAGGACTCTTGGTTTGCTGATGTTTTAAAAGATAACAAATAATCTTTGAAATCTTACACACATGGTAAATGTCTTACTGTACAGGTAGTGAGCACTGTGGTGATAGTGGTTGTGTGCGCGTGTATGAGCCAGCCACAGTGGTTCTGGCTCGATGGTGGGGGCTGCAGTACTCACAACATTGGCCTGTATATCTTCTTCCACGCAGGACATTTCCAGCCGGTTGAAGGGAAGGACGTCACCTCATCCATGTCACATGTCATATATTACACAAATGGTGAAGGTATGCTTGTGCGCGCTATATTTTTAGAAATTAAAATTTGTCTCGTACTGACAACCATGTGTTTGATTTTTTTGTTCCATTATAATAATAATTGTATTATTTACAAAACACCGTACCAGATACAGTATGTAAATAATTTGTGCATAATAAACAGTAATGTATCTCTAAATTAACATAAAATAATAAATAATTTTGTTACAGTATTTTCACTCAGTATAATATTAGTTATGTAGATTTAAAATAAAAAATGACTTACTAGTCATTATACATTATTTATCAATTAACTGATGATAACTTGTATACAGTATAATATGTACAGTTTATGGAATTGTGCTCATGACATATCAGTACAGTAATTAGCCAGGCTCTTATGGCTGCTCTTTGAGCTAGAGACTAAATGGTCCACTCAGGTCTTAATTCACTTGTCAGGCTTTAGTTGTCTGTGACAGGTACTAAACCCTTTATTATGGCTTTGTGACATAGTTGAGCAGGGTAGACAGTGGACAGTAACTCGGTTCACCACTCAGCAACTGCTTATTAAAAGACAGTCATGAAACAAATCATCCAAGAATTCACTCTAGTACAAGATTTAATTGGAATTCTTAGGATACCTAGTTATCACTGCAAAGTATGGTACAGTACTGATGTACTGTAGCGGGTACCAGTAGCTACCTGGATACCACTAGATGGCAGCAACAGTTATCAAAACTGAGTCAGTGAATAAGATTAGTAGCCTCCATTGGGACAGGAAGCTGCCAAAGGTCCCCTCCATTTGTCAAAGTAAGCTTGTCAAAGGTCCCTCCATTTGTCCTGATGATTTTTTCTAGCTGGATTTTAAAATTCAACACGGTTTTGGCATTTACAGCGTCTGCTGGTATTCAATTCATTGGGTTTATAACCATCTCCTATTTTTCAGTCCTACATGGTGGCTTGTTCGGGAGCCTGCAGCTCTCACTTTTCTGGCGGTCGTTGTTGTTTTAGATTCAGCTACCCGAAACAAAAAGTTTCAAGTAGCACGGACTATGGTGAGCCAGAAGTGGACTGTACTGGCAATCTTTCCATCTTTCTTTCAGTTTTCTGGCTTTCACTAGCTGGTTCGTGTGTGATGTCAGCAAGGGTGATAAGGGAAGTTTTGATGGCATCTTTTCTTCTACAAGATTTGGCGGTTCAGTTGTATTTGGAGTTAGATGAGACTACAACATACTGGTAATATAATGTACTTTTTGAGAGGATATTTTTGAGGTTCATATTCCAGCCCTTTTGGTCTTGTGTTGCCCAAGCTTGCTGTGGTAGCCTGGGCTACAAGTGTTGACTGCCATCTCCTCTGACTGTTGTGGTGGCCAGTGTTGCTATCTGTCTGGTGGCATCAAAGTAGCAGCTAGGTACTAATCAGTAGATTGCAGAGCGATAATTGGGTATCCTGGTGAGTCAATTATTGCTTGTAGGGGGTTCTTAGTGACTTTCTTTTTTTAATAAACGTTTGCTCGGTGGTTGATTGAGTTACATTCACTGTCCATTCTGCAACATGTAGCAAGTCTGCATGATACAGTAATTTGAAAAGTTATTGTCATGGTGGGACAACAAGTCACCTAGTCACATTTTTAAATTTCTAATTTCTTTTCAGAACTAAAGTTTTGTGTGACACCAGAAATTGTGGCACTGATGCGTATTGTCATAGGCCTGATATTTGTGATCATTTGCTCTTCGCTGGTCCAGATGTTGCTTGATATCAGTGGCCCCTCGGGTAGTATCTTGAAGTGCTTCAGAAAAAATGCTGTAGCAGGCATATTTTCTGGTAAGGGTTGTTATAGATCAAGATCTATCTTTTGAATTATATATATATCCAGCATTTATATTTCCATGAGGAGCCATATTTCTGGCAATTGGTGGCAATCTTTTATAATGATTTCCATGAATGTACAGTACTTTTTGATGGAAGATTGTTGTATTATTATACAGTATTGTTGTATGTGTTAGAGTGTTACTTCATTACAGCCTTGATTGATTACAGTGTTGGTTTGTGTTTAGTACAGTGGAACCTCGAGTAACGAATTTAATCCGTTCCGGTGCCGTGATCGTCATGTGAAACGGACGTCATACAAAACGACTGTCCCCATTGACAATAACGGAAATCAAATTAATCTGTTCTACCACCGAAAAACATCAATATGATATTTGATGTTTTAAATAATGTAGAAGCCAACCTTACATACACTGAACAAACCTTTATGACATTTTTCTTTCTTCAAATTTGTTCAAATTTTTTTTTTCAGGTGTCTTATAGCAAAAGGTTCGTTCGGTGTTTGGCAGGTAGGCTGCTCCATGTTTCTTAAATAAAAAAAAAAAAAAAAAAAAAAAAAAACAGTTGAAACAATTTAAAAAATGGACAAATGCCATAAAGGTTCATTCAGTGTTTGTCGGGTAGGCTGCTTCATTATGACAATCTTTCTTTGTTTCAAATGTGTTCCATTTGTTTTGTATTTTTCATTTACGTCTCAATCATGGAGCAGCCTACCCGACAAACACTGAATGAACCTTTATGGCATTTGTCCATTTTTCAAATTGTTTCAACTATTTTTTATTTATTTTTTTAATTTAAGAAACATGGAGCAGCCTACCTGCCGAACACAGAATGAACCTTTTTGACATTTGTTGTATTTCAAAAAATTTCATTTCTTTTTTCTACAAAAAAGTCATTGCTTTGGAACCTCTTAGCAGTCACCCCTTTATATCCCAGCATCATTAGCATCTTTAAACAAAAACAACTGAATATATTTGCATTGTCGGAGGCGTTTGAGAATGTACGAGAAGCAGCGCGATCCCACCGTGTGGTCTTGTCGTCATTCAAATGAGTGGTCGCCATACGAGACGAATTGTCGGCTATCTGGGCGATCGTTACCCAAAATGCTCGCCATTTGAGGTGATCGTCACTCGAGGTTCTACTGTGATGGTAAATGACATTTCTGTTTGATAATCTTTTCCTAAAACTTGCCATTTCCAAGATCATTTGCCTTGAGAAAACATTAAGCATTAAGTATGGGTACAGGAGTGTGTAACCCAAAAATGGTTGTGTAAAATTAAAAATATTCTTAATATAAATTTGACAAAACCTGTAGTATAAACAATATCTTATATCTGGGAACTGATTTACGAATGTTTTGGAATTTGAAGAGTAACAAAGCATACATTTAATATTTGAATCTCTAATTATTGTTGCACTCTCCTGCAGATGTATTAGTGAGCCATATTACACAAGAACACAAGAAAATGTAATAAGCAGTCAATCAGCCAAGTAGCTGAATGATAGCTTATTCTAGTCAGCACACATTCATATGAACATACAATTTAACTACTTTACCATTATCTTAAGGTTATCTTGAGATGATTTTGGGACTTAGCGTCCTCGACCAGGCCTTCTGTTTGTTACACACTCTCAGGAAGCAGCCTGTAGAAGCTGTCTAATTCCCAGGTACCTATATAATGCTATGTGAACAGGAGCATCAGGGTGAAACAAACTCTGCCATTTGTTTCCGCCTCCACTGGAGATCAAACTCGGAATCTTGGGACTACGAATCCCGAGCGCTGTCCACTCAGCTGTCAGGCCTCCAGCTTAAATCATTACTACAGTTAAGGTGCACTGCTATTTCTAACTCAGAATGTCAACTTAATTTTCCTTGCTTGCTCACCGGTATTAGAGTACTGTACCATTTTGTGAACTGAATGACTGCAATTCGATCCAACAACAGACTTGGTCAAGAAGCTGGAAATCTAAATACTGTAGCATCTTTTTCGTAAAATTTGACAGTGAAACAAATTAAGTTGATTCACTGTTGTGTATTTTTTAAATTTAATATTAAATATATTTAAGCACTAATGTCTTTTTACATGATTTTCTTAGGTGGTATGTCAGTTCTAGCTGTGGGTTGTAGCTGGCTCCGCCCAGCACATCTGTTCCCTGAAGCAGATTCTGCTCCTTTGATGGAAGACTGGGGAGGCCTTGAAGGATTAGAAACTTTCTCAGTCCCACCTGGCAGTTCATTGTCTTCTCACATTCCATACTTAAGTGACCTCGAGCCTCCACCACCTGTGGAGGGGCATCCTCCTCCTCCGTACACTCCATAATTGACTTGCGACTTGTACTGAAGAATGTGTTTATATTGAGAGTAGAAGGGTATAGCATATTAGCATACTGTAAACAAACCATTATACCAGCCTTAATGAAAATGCAATATATAATGTACATAGTAACAGAACATGTAACACAAACTACTATGAATGAGCACGCTGTGATTTTAAGGATATTTCTTGCTTCCTATAAGTGACACTAGTTCTTAAATATTAGCATGTGAAGATCAATAACTAGCATATGCTTGCATGCAAGTATTGTGGTCATTGCAGATTTCAAGGTGTTACAGCAAGCATAATATTTTATTTAAAACAAATAGACTAATCACTGAAATTTCATGATTGTACGTCTTTCTCACTGTTATCACTTTTATTATATTCCAGGAATTGATTTTCCATCTCAAGATGTTCATCTGTTATTTTTATTTAAAGAGATTTCTTTTGATATCTAGCTATATGTATGTATGCTTCTGTATATGCACGCATGTATTTGTATATGTGTGTGAGAGAATGAGGCCGAGGAAGTCCAAGAGTAAGGCCAAGAAACTGCATGAGAGGGGCAGAGAAAGTGCACGAGAGGGGCAGAGAAAGTGCATGAGAGGGGCAGAGAAAGTGCACGAGAGGGGCAGAGAAAGTGCACGAGAGGGGCAGAGAAAGTGCACGAGAGGGGCAGAGAAAGTGCACGAGAGAGGCAGAGAAAGTGCATGAGAGGCAGAGAAAGTGCACAAATGGCAGAGAAAGTGTACGAGAGGGGCAGAGAAAGTGTGAGAGAGGCAGAGAAAGTGTGAGAGGCAGAGAAAGTGCACAAGAGGCAGAGAAAGTGCACAAATGGCAGAGAAAGTGCATGAGAGGGGGCAGAGAAAGTGCACGAGAGGGGCAGAGAAAGTGCGTGAGAGAGGCAGAGAAAGTGCACAAGTAGCACCTATGCTTGTTAAAAATTGCTAGATATTTTGCCTTCCTTGCTACTTTTTGTTTAAGTGGACTTAAGTGCAATGGAACTGACAACGAGGCCTTCATGAATATAAACCATGTTGTGTGTTCATATGGATGCATGGCAGTAGACAACTGTTTGAGGGTGAGGATTTGTAAGACAAATATCAGTAATAATTCATTGTGTTGAGGGGCAGGCAGCCAGAATGAATGAATGAATGTATGTATGTATGTATGTTAGGCTTATATTGAGGTCCCCTTCCCTCAAGGTTGAACTACTGACCCTCCCCAGAATGCAACCCCATAACAAGCCGACTGACTTCTGGGTACAGTACCTATTACTGCTATGTGAACAGGTGCATTAGGTGATAGGAAATGCACCCAACCATTTCTGTCCCGCCTGGGATTTGAACCCAGAATTCCCGATTGTGATTCAAGAATGAACCTGACTGTATAAATGTTTACATTGTAGTTTCAGAAAGTGAAGATTTGAGACCAGATTAATGGAAATGCTAGTCCTTGAGGGTGAAAATTTGCAAGACTAAATTATGTTGTCAAATTCAGATGACAATACTTTTGTTTCATGCATATAAATACAGTACATATCTCTCTAGGTTCATTTTCACATCCTCTATGCTTCTGGAGCTTTATTTCTTTCATGGGTGGCCTCAGAGAGAGACTCTTAACCACTCCAGAAAGACTGCAGTTCCATCATGAGACAAAAGTTATTACATTAGCTACCATTCCAGTAAATACTCGGAGCTTTATACAGTGGAACCTCGTATTACGAATGCCCCCTTTTTATGAACTTTTCGGGTTACGAGTCCAATTTCTTCGTAAAATCCGAATTGGGTTACAAACTTTGCCTCGGGTAACGGAGTTTGTTGATAAGCATATGGCCGACCTAGCGCGTGGTGGCACGGCGACTGCGCCTCAGTTTACCAGTGTCTCCTGCCTAGACAATCATGCTTGAATTCTTTGTAAAGAATTTCAGTTTTTATTTTTTTATTTTTGGGTATTTGAACATAAAAATTATTATTATATATCTCGCCATGGGTCCCAAGAAAGCCAGTGGTAAAGTTCAAGCCAAGAAAACACATGTGAGAATGACCATAGAGGAGAAACAAGAGATCATTCGTAAATGTGAAAATGGTACACGGGTTGTTGAATTAGCTAGGCAGTACAACAAATCTGTCAACGATATGTACTGTAATTGCTAAGAAAAAGGACATTATGAGTACTAAAGTGGTAAAAGGTGTACAGTATCAACAATCACGAAACAAAGAACACAAACACTTGAAGATGTTGAAAAGTTATTATTAATTTGCATACACGACAAGGAGTTAGGAGGTGATAGCGTTTCAGAGGCCATCATTTGTGAGAAAGCAAGGCAATGGCATGAAGACCTTTTAAAGAAAACCCCTGGAATGAGTGATGCAGATACGAAAGAGTTTAAGGCGAGCAGGGGATGGTTTGAGAAATTGAGAAAAAGGAGTGGCATTCATAATGTTGTGAGTGTTGTGTATTATGAGCTGGTGGATGAACACAGCGAAGAACTGACCACCGAAGAACTCCTAGCCTTTCACAAGAAGTAGCAACAAGAGGCAGCTGAGGAAATTTCTTCAGGGGAGGAAGAGGCAGTACATAATGGCCCTTCCTCAGCAATTAAGAAGTACTGTAGTGTAGACTATGGGAAGAAATGCAAACTTTTGATTAAATGACTCGTCCAGAGTAAGCTGTAGGAGGCCGCTGCCTTAACCTTTTTAATGACACAAGTTCAAGTTCAAGTATGTTTATTGAGACAAGAAAGAAATACATCTCAAAGGGATAGAGTAGCTTAGGCTATTTCTACCACCCAATTTAATGACACTGTGATGCCTCACTACAGACAAGTGTTACAACGTATGGAAAAACAAGTCTCTGTGGAAAGATTTTTAGTAAGAAAAACAAGCAGCGAGCCACAAGCAGGTCCTAGTAGTATGCAGGCAAAATGTGGGAGAGTACCCCAGAGAAGTCATCACTGCCTGATGTTATAATGGAAGGGGACTCCCCCTTCCAAACATTAACACCTTTTCCCCCCACCATCTTTCATATGCCAACAAGTCATCGATAAAGGTAATTAATAACTTGTACATACTTTAGTACGAAAGATTTTGATGAATTAGGTATAAAATTACGTTGAGATTAATATTTTTGGGTGTGTGGAACGGATTAATTCAATTTACATCATTTCTTATGGGAAAATTCTCTTCAAGTTATGAACCGTCTCTGGGAACGGATTAAATTCGTAAGTTGAGGTACCACTGTACAGTGTTGCATTTTTTATTATACACGAAAACATTGTAATAAATTTTTCAATGAAGATAAATTCAGCTTTGATATATATTGTGTATATCAAAAGGCATTTTGAAAAATGTTGAGACTAATACTTGTTTAGTCTTTGTATTGTAACTTGTGTGTACAATGTTACCTTCCTTGTCTATTAAGTTTCATGATTATCAAGTCATACTTCTGTAATTTTGATGCTTTGTTCTCATTAGAAACTTATGTTTTAATTTCTGTTAAAAGTGTGATGGAGTACAAAATATTTGCTAAGTGATGTAACATTATGGCTGGGCTTGACACCTGCACTCACTTGTACTAGAGAAACACTCATGTAGGGGAAAGTTAAATATTGCTTGGATATTACCTTGGAAAATCTGTGTGCAAGCCATCCAACAGGACGTGGCTGATGGATCCCTCTTGGATGTGCAGGGACTATTAAAAATCATAAGGAGAGTCCTGGCACCAACAGTCAAATTACTGCTTAAGAGTATGACAATGTGGCACTTGCTCATGTTATTGTGAGCAAGCTCCACCTTTGAGAAGTCTGTGGTGTTACTGTTATCCCTGGAAACACAAACCGAAACTCTCTATTTTCCGCTTGTTACAACTTGTAATAAAGTTGTTACATCTTGGCTTAACGTGTTTATGACGTATTAGAACGTTACAACTTGCTATATTGTTTGTTATAACTGGTTAGGTGGTGTTAAAACTTGTTCGAACGTTGTACCAACGTCATAGTTTTGGTGTGTGTTTGGCGGGATTACATTCATTTCATGAATGAGAGGACCTAAGCTTACATCTTGGGCAGCATGAGAGAATTGGACACCATTCCTTTACTCTTGTGTACAAAGCTCATAAGTGCAGATCTTGATGTATAACTTCAGTATTGGTGGATCGTGTTCTGGGTGAAAATATGGTTCACAATAACCTAACTGGTTGCAGTACCCAACCTGAATCTCAACATTAAAAAATCACATTAAAGTGTCATAGTAAAAGCGCAAGGTCAACAAATAAATAGATGATAAACCCTGAAACAATGTCACAGATACTATGAAGTGCTAACAAATCACCAAAATATGTCACAGTGCTACTGTAATCATGGTTGACCATGTAACTATGGTTAAGAATTTTGTTAACTATTTTCCCCCATTCTATCAATTAAAGGGATTTATTTTGTATGCATAGGGGGTACATGTCTACAAATTATTTTGGCAGTGCAGAGCTGCTCTGAATAACCCAAAAATATACTGTATATACACTGTATAATATCTACCAAAAGTATTAATGTTCATTGGAAATTCAGTTAAATATATTGTAATGTTTCAATGTATGATCTTGTTGCTGTTGTAGCTTTAGCACAGGTAGCTTTGATTTATTGCATGTCATTTTTGTAACATGGAAGCATTGGGATTTATTTGACACTGAACAAAATTGTAAGTTTTGTTGATATTCAGAGGTAATAGGCGGAAGTTTGTTGTGTAACTCGGGATATACATGATGTATGGTTACTGCAGTAAGTATTGATTAAAATGGAACATTGATTTATTAATGCCTTAGTAACGGTTATTTTTTCATTGTCAAACAACTGGAACAAATGTATAAGTCAGCACTAATGGCATCATAGTACTGTAGGTTTGTGACCCGTGTTCAATTTGTGAAACACAGTACTGTACTGTACAGCATAAGTACCGGGGTATCTATTCTAAACAAAATATGTAGCATACAAAATCACTTACTGTAATTACGTATTATAATTTTGTATATATTGTATATTCATGAATACAGTATATATATATACTGTATATATATAGGTAAAATTTATTAGAAGAGAATTTTATACATTCCATATTCTACAAATAATTATGATAAGGGGATTTAGCTGGAGGATTAAATTCAAGATACAATAGTAATATATTACCACATGTATATCTTATGTTTATTAAAATTATTTAGATTGCCATTTTTTTTTGCTTATACACTAGTGCACTTAACTGTAACAATGTATCAATACACTGTCATTTAAATGAGTGGATTATACACAGTGGGCACAATATTTACCTGAATTTGCCTGATGGCCACCATCTCTCTCTCTAGTGACCTTGATGAGAACTGGAAGCTGGCAACTTGTCAAAGGTTTCCACCATTTGCCCTAATTATTTTATCCAGCTGGATTTCTAACCACAGCAACATTTTGGCATTTATGGCTTTAGCTGATGGGCAGTTCCATGAGCTTATTACCCTATAGGTGAAAAAGCATCTCATGTTATGTCCTGCATTGTGACTTGTTGAGCTTGAAGTTGTTGCTCCTTATATGTGTTACATTTGACCTTTAAAATGTCGTAAAAATGGATCAATATCCTTCAAATTGTTCAGTATTTTAAGAGTTTCTATAAGGTCAGTCCTGTCATGTCTGTCTTGCAGTGTTGTTATCCTTGTGGTCCTCAACTGATCCTGGTATGAGACAACTTAGTTATCAAATTTTTGTTACCTGTTGTTGAACTTTCTCTTGAAGCAGACATGTCCTTCTGAAGATGAGTACAGTAATGCTAATTCAAACTGAATCAACAGTATCAATGTCCCTTCAATACTGAATTAATGTTACACTTGAGATAGACTAACCAAGTGAAAGCAAATACCCAGAAGACAGTCTGGTTGAACAGTTTTAATTATATTCTGTAGTTTAAGACTACAGTCCTGCATTTGACTTTTATCAGATACAGGCAGTTCATCGAGTTTATAACTCTATAGGTGAAAAAGCATCTAGTGTCAAAAAGTGTGCATTTTTATGCAGATATAATTAATACTGTATGTATGGTATTACATGTAAACAGGCTTGGTTCAAGCAGGCATTTCAGAGAATAGTATCCCTATCTGTCTCTGGGCTGCCGTTCAGACTCTATCTTGTGGAGGTTCGGGGGATCAAAGGCCCCATGGCATCAAAGGCAAACCAGGCCTCCCGGTTTGTTGTCTGATCAGACTGTGGTCCAGGCTGTTGGAAGTGGCTTCATGTAGCCTGACGCATGAATCGTATTATGATGTGATTAGGCATGTATTAATCCTCCTGTGGTTACCTATATTATTATTTTTTTTTTGTATGCCTGAGGTTGTCCCACATGCTTGTACCTCCCTTTGTTAAGCTCCGTGGTAGGTGGAGGTGCAGAGTAGTAGAATGTACTGTTTTAAATGTTACCTTTTCATTGCCTCTCAGGCTTGTGGTGGTGGTCATCCAGGGCCCCTCTCGAGTTGGCTGAACCTGGAAGATTGGTTCCCCCTCTGCTGTTGGGGGTTCAATGGTATCTTATGCACCCCATCCCCATTGCTCCTACCTCATTGACTTATTTGGTCCACCTACACAGGACAAGTATTATCGTCTGGTATATTCTCATACTTGCACTATCCGCGATTACTTTAGAAGGCATTGCCACCTCGCTAAGGTAATTGACCCCATTGTCACTATCCATCCCAACAAGTCTGGAAGGAGCCTCCAACACACACCAAAGTCACTGCTGACTTTTTGGCTCTCCTCTTGTTTATTGGCCAGCATTGGCAGTTGTCGGACTAGGGACCTTCGAGATTGTCAGACATCTAGGCCATCGTGGAGTTCCAGGGCCAATCTGTTCTCCAAGTAAATTCATTCACAAGACTTCCCTTGTGGTAGACATCACATTCGATGGTCATGCCTTCCTGTCCTGGGCAATGAAAAGTACAATGCGAAGGAATACATTCCCTATCAGCATATGCAGCATGTTCTTCAAGTATGACATGGGGCTGCTGCAACTTGTAGTGAAGTGTTCCTTTACTCACTAGTGAATTCAGCCAGAGTAAAGTCAATGTTAGATGAGAAAATCAGTAGGAGCCATGAGGATTCAAACCCACTCTCTTGGTATTTCCAAGCTAGCACTTAGTGTTTGATGATTCTCACACTAAAAAGTGATGCCCACCCTGTCTATTTTTGCTCGTGTGAATTTAAGTGCGAATAGGCCATCACCAGCCTTCAACAGACAATGTATCCTTCCGAAAGGTGATACCCACCTGGTCTGTCACCATGGCTTCTTCAGCTTACTGGAACTAATCAGGACTTTCCGTTGGAATACCTTAGGGACAAAATAAGGACACACATTTCAAACGTGCAGAGCAATGGGCCTGCATACATGCGATTCTTGAAAGGAAAGACTGTAAAGTAGAAGACTTAAGAGACCACTAATGGAACACTGGTAAAAAGTGTATGGGAATTTTGGAGGGCTTCCACATATAAACTAGGTTGTGGAAGAATTAAATAGAGACGCCCAGGCTGGATCACAAGCCAGTGTGATGTAAAGAACAAAGATGACAGAGTCAAGGTGAAGCTGATAAGTACAGTACATGGGGACATTCTTTTATTGGTATTAAAGTAATCTTAAAATAAAAATAAAAAAGGCACTTGCCATTGCACTACCACCACCATAGCAGATCAATGGCAATTATCATTACATTCTATAACAAGACTTTCAGGTAAATATAAAAAAGCAATTTAATATTGTGTGGATTTATTTCTCAAACAGGATAATCAACTGCACCACATCTTTCATATAGGCAAGGTACACATAAGGTAAAAATTCATCTGCATATAAAGCTATACCGTACCTCCTATAAAACACAAATTGCCACCACAGCAAAGGCAGCCTTCCATATCCATTGAAATGTACAAAGCATAATGTGCAAAATAACAGCATTTAACAGTTATACACATCACTGTTTAACATTCCACCATTCTGAAGGTATTTCACAGCATTATCAAATACCGGTAAGTGTTGAGAATATATACGAGCTTGATACAAGCAAATGTTTGATAAAAACCAAGGACAGGATAGTAGAAATTCTGCAATGAGAATGAGCATTATGAGCCAATAATGTGTGCATTAGCAATGCTGTTAACATTTCTACACAATCCAACTGATACCTTCCTCTGCTCTTGATTCAAGGCAGGAAAATACTGATATTCAATCCCATGGGGCAAAATAAAATATTTTAATCTTTAATACTTTTGATGTGATGACATTATGATATATGAAATGGATTTAATGATGCAACAAACTGTACAAAGTATATGGGGTTTACTTCCACATGACCGAGAAGACCAGTTAAATAATGCACTGTAATAAAAGAAGCATTAAAACATTTATAGCTCCTTTCACACAGTGAAATACCAGTCTATTCAAAGCCCGAGGGAGTCCTAAATATGCACAATGCTATCCTCGTTGCTACTCTAACACTACGTTATTTTATTGTTAACGAGTTCACAACATTTGCATCAAGTTATACAAGTAAATTACAACTATGTATTGACTTTCAAGGAAAAATTTAGGGGTTAAACATACCTATTTTCACTGAAAATGAATTCTAAAGCTTACGTATTTATTCAAGTGTGCTTCTCTTTATTTTCCAGCTATTGTATCATTTACCGTCTCAGAGTATTCAAGGTAACTGTTTGGGTACGAGTCTCACTTTGAGACCGTTGACTTTGTTTGATGCCAAACATTAAAGCATTAAACTGGATAAAACTGATGCAATGTGGACAGATTTTTACGCGAAAACCACAAAGCACCTGCACTAACCATCTGTCGGAGAACACACGAGTGAAATATCAAATCAACAGCAACTTTTCCCTTCACACAATTAGAATGGTAAGGAAGTTCCCCTCCCCCAAAGACCCTGCATGTTTTCCTGAAAAATATATCACATTTAACCTTATACCAAATGTTCATCATATCACTGATGTTAGAAATATAATTGTCAAATATTTTTTGTAAGGGTTCGTCACTGAGGACTTCAGGAAAATGAATACCAGAGATCAAATGTTGTGCTCAGCACCTATGTATTACTAAATATTTGAAGTGTTTTACTTAACAGTTATTTAGATTGTAGATAAGAAATCTTTAGAACTTGCTCAGATGCCGATACATACATACATACATATTTTATTTATATATATATATATATATATATATATATATATATATATATATATATAATTATAAATGTTTGCATGTGTGTGTGTACAAACGAATAAACTATGTAAAGCAGAAGATATTAATACAATTTGTTAAAGTGTAAAATAACAATGTTAGGAGGAGTGTGTGTCAACCCATGAGATTAAACCTGGTGAAAGTATTGGGTAGATGCATTATAATCTTAATAAGCTAACTACCCAGTATAGTACACATTTTTAAACTAATTTAGGTAAACAGATGGACTGATAGATAGTTATGCCATTGTTAAATGTGGCACTAAGCTTAGGATCCATTCTAGTTTATATCACCAAAACAATTTAGTTTCTTAATTTTGTAAGGTTCTGTACAGGAATAATTGTATTATGCCAATAATGGGCCTATATTCAGCCAAAAAAGATGTGGCTCAACTTGTACCCTGATGTTAATCACTTCTAGGAGACTGTCATATCTTCCAGTTGTTCATCTAACTCGTCAAGGTCTTCGTCGTCGCCATCAAATAACTCTTCGTCTATGTCTATATCCACATCCGCCGTGTCTCCTCCAACTGCACCATCCACTACTCCTCCAGCAGCTCCTGCATCCACTGCTGCAGTTTCCGCAACAGTCTTGGCTAATGGGCAAGAATGTTTATTGTTATTTTTGTCTATATTGTGAAGTACAAGACAATATATGTCTGGGACATTTCCAGAAAACTTAGCTACATATATATGTTTTAGGACGTTTACTTTTACTCTAATCCTACTTAACTGGCAGAAGATTCAAGTTGAAAATAATATAGACTGATAGTTGTATACATTTACCCTCTTAATCATAGCCCAATTGTGTGGAATTGGTCAAAAGTTTGTAATTATTTCCTCAAAAGTCATCAAGCCTGAAAGTAGCCAGGTTGTCAGGAGGAGATTCTACATGTGACCACTCACTCGAGGAAAGCTTCCAGAAAAAACATGGCAGTACAGTAATGTGAGAAATTCAGTCAGATATAAATCTCTTTATTAAGTCTACTGTCCATGGAAGGACAAAGATGGACATCTTACCTGCATCTAACGCTATCTCATCTTGGAGCTGCTGCAGTCTATCAGGATTGGCTATGGATACATTGGACGACTCAACTTCCTGGTACTCGGACAGTAAATCATTAATATTGATTTCCCGGTACTGGAAAGTGAAAAAAAAAGTAAGAAATTTAGTCTAGACATTAATAAGAAACTAGAAAATAATGATCAAGTACTAAATTAAGCAGTTCCATGTAAATGCTTGGTCCATTAAGTAGCAATGAATATTTTGAACACCAACTTCAGCAAAATGTGCATTAAATAAATAACAATTACTCAAGACTAACCGACTCGCTCACTTTGACACGTTTTAAAATGTGAACTATCATAAGCCCCTTTAGAATGTAACTATTGTCCCACCATTGCAATTTATTCTTAAACAGATTTAATTATCATAAGATCACACCTAATAAATTTAACCCATCAGATATTCTTATCCTGTATCTTTACGTAAATATATTTCCAGTTAAGGGTTTCTAGGAACAAATGAACTAAAGCATAATTATTGAGGACTTGTACTAAAAACATGATGCACTGAATGTACAGTAGAACCTCTATTAACGAGTTTAATCCGTTCTGGCACCGAGCTCGTAACCTGGAAAACTCGTCTTTGGAAACAAATTTCCCCATTTAAAATAAAGGAAATAAATTTAATCCGTTCCACTCCCAAAAACATCCATACTTGTATGACTTTTTTTTTATGTAAATATAATACTGCACATGTAAATATAAATGTTTTGTTGTAGTGTTTTAATATTTACTTTACCTTATGAAGAGTAGTTGCTGGCTTGAGGGAGACGATGGAGAGGTGGGAAGGAGGAGAGGGGTTATGGTGTGGAAGGAGGAGAGGGGTTATGGTGTGGAAGGAGAATTCACCTCTGAGTCAGGCGGACTCTCTCTTCTTGGGAATTTCACCCAAATTTCATTTCAAATGTCACACAAGGATGCGTTAGACCAGCACCAAATAAAAAAACTACGTTGATTACACTCGTTGTGTCAACAATATAATAGTCTTACCACGAAGATACAATACAATGCCGTTTTCTCAAATAGGCAATGTGGTTATTAAAGAAAACGGAAATTTCATGGCAAACATGTATACAATCCCCAAGTCGATCGGATAAGTATTGGATTTTATAGAAATATTTGCTCAAATGATGCTTGAGCGCGGTGTTTGGGTGCATTCAAGAGAAAAAAAGTGTGTTACGTTCAAGCGACATATACCTGCGAAAGTGATAACACTTTCATAAAGTGTTATCACAAAGTGATAAATTAATTAAACATTTTCACACACTGGGTTGTCACTGCTTTATCAGGGCAGCTTTTCCAAGAATGCATTCACCTTTTCAAACATTCCAAACACTTCCCTGATCTCAGTGGAAGAGGCAGCATCCTCCCTTACCTCCTCATTCCCTTACTAATGGTGTAAATTGTTGATGAGGACCTGCCATACTTCCTTGTGAGATCAATCACACAGACACCACACTTATGCTTTGCTATAATTTCCTTCTTGAAATCCATAATAATTGTGTCTTTCTTCCTCTTGAAAACACTATCTTTAGCAAGCAGCTTCTTTGGAGACATCGTGTTACAAATTGTAGTTGCAAAACCACTAAAAACCCAAAGAAAAGCTCAAATAAATCCAGAGGGATGCTTGTCGTGTGAGATACAACAACAACACTGGTGTTGGAGGCGTCCGAGAATTTGCGAGAACCCGCGAGACGCTAGGAAGCGCCATGTGGTTTCAGTCGTTAATAGAGGCGAGCTCGTCAATAGAGACAAATTTGCTGCGAGTGGCTTGCTCGTTACTGGAAAAACTCGTTAATAGAGGTTCCACTGTATTCGCATTAATGATTCAAAACTAAACTTCAATAAACGTCCACCTAACTTTGTAAATATAGGTGCAGATGCTAACATAGAAGCAATGAAAACTAATCGTGTAACTGTACTCATGACTTCTCTCTCATGCGAGGCTATTCACAAGCACAACACATTCTTCGTATTGCACATTTAAAATACATGAGTTATGTTTGTTACCAATAACAAGCAGTGGTATAATAATATATTTTATCTAAAAAAAAATATATATATAAGTAAATAACCAATTAAACTTAATTTGTTAAGATGGTGTCATAAAACTGCAATAATTTGAACTTTTTTACATTTTTTAGTATGTGTTCAGACTTAATACCCATGAGAAATAGTAAACAAATAAAAATGAAATTCACAAATAAATCTACTCTTTACCTCAATTTCTTGTTGATCATCCTCAGGATCTTTTCCCAAATTCCGTACATCAAATGACTCGTCACCTTCTTCAATATCATCTCCACCTTCAGTTGCCAAGTTGGGATTAAATGTAAACATTTCACGACCTGACAACTGAAAAAGAACAAATGGTTTTAATTAATACTGCGAATATCAAATAATATATGGCCAAACATGTCACTTCTGTATCAACTAATATATATATATATATATATATATATATATATATATATATACTATAGAGCAAGCTGAACCAATTGAAGAGCTGAGAGGCATATTTCTTGAGTTATCTTGAGATGATTTCGGGGCTTTTTAGTGTCCCCGCGGCCCGGTCCTCGACCAGGCCTCCACCCCCAGGAAGCAGCCCGTGACAGCTGACTAACACCCAGGTACCTATTTTACTGCTAGGTAACAGGGGCATAGGGTGAAAGAAACTCTGCCCAATGTTTCTTGCCGGCGCCTGGGATTGAACCCAGGACCACAGGATCACAAGTCCAGCGTGCTGTCCACTCGGCCGACCGACACCATGATATTGTATATCGATATTAAATAAGAGTGCTTTAATGATCACAAGGTGTGTGTGGTTATGAGCAGCTGCATGGAGTACAATGAACATTGGGATCCAAATGGGTGGCAGCTCGTGCAACGAGCACACACACTAGTGGCGGTGGGAAGAGGGGTTGGCGTTGGCAAAATAATGACGCGTTTTAATGACAGTGATGCATTTAGTTGTCAGTGTTAGTATTACTATTAGTGACTAAGGTAAGTCAGGTTAAGTTCTTTATGCACCATCACATTATTTATGAAATTAATTAAACAAGGATTTCAAATCAATATGCACTTTCCCAAAGCTGAAAGTTAAAAGAAATAAAAGGAGATATGATCACTACATACAAAATAGTAAGTGGAATTTATAACACTGACGAAGAGCTCTTGAAAACTACAACCTCGAGAACAAGACATAAATTCAAGCCAAGGAAACAAAGAGGATAAAAAATTATTACAAAGTTCTCCTTTGCAAACAGTAGTAGATGGTTGTTACAAGGAAGAAGGCAGTGGATGACAAAACTGGCAGTAGTTTCAAACTACAGTACTGTATATGACAGTTCTGGAAAGACGGGACACCACGAGTATAGCTCTCATCCTGTAACTACACTTAGGTAATTACAGGTTGGTAATGACATTGCCTGTGCAAGACCTTTACTTGAGTATGCAGTACCAGCATGGAATCCACACCTTGGTTAGCATAAAAGAAAGTTGAGAAAATTCAGAATTTGCAACTAGATTAGTATCAGAATTAAGAGTGCTCGGGTATATAAGGAGAGTCTGAGGGAACTCGCCCTCACAACCTTGAGAAGAAACAGTGGGGATATGATCACTACATACAAAACCCTGAGGGTAAATAGATATATTGAACAAAGAAAGCCTATTTAAATTAGGTGGTGGTAGAACAAGGGGACATCACTGGAAGCTATAAACAATAATTGTAGAGATGTAAGGAAGTTCTCCTTCCCTGTATGAGTGGAATGCATTGAAGGAAGAGGTTGATGGAAGCTAATTCCAATGTTAATGTTGAGAGGTAACTAGCACGCCAGGTATGAACAGCTAGGAGGCAGGGGAACAAAGAGCTAGAGCTCCCTCCCCTTACAATAATTGATAGGTAAGCACCTAAGTTTTTGTACCCAGTGCATTTTTAAATCTTAAGGTTTGTGTTCTCTGATACATAATTACTTTTGATGTTATGAATGGAGGTCACATATCATGGTGCACTGAAATAACTGAGTTAGAATCATCTGCGGGAACAAGAATTCTCCCAAATGATTCCCAGAGAATCTGCAACTGACAAAAAATTGCTAATAACTCTCATACAGAGATGGCTCAGCAATTGTAGATTGCATCAGCACAACACTCATCAACAAAATGATTGGTATTGTATATATGTGGGTAATGCAACTGGTGCACCATAAGATTTAAGGGGACAAGAGGATAGATCCTAAAAAGTTCTTCAATGTCAACCAATATTTTTTGACTAGTTTATATGAAAAGGGCTGCAATTGTTCCAAGTTTCAGTACTGCAGTCTAAACAGAAAGGGAGATTTAATTTTTTTTTCAACGAATATTACACATTTTCAAATGAGTTGATACCTTTCACCTTTTCAGATATAATCATTCTATGACACTTTTCTGACACATTAGCATATAATAAAGGATCTGTAGGAAGGGATGTTCCAAAACACCTTTAGTTTTCCTAATACAAATAGTCAAAGTCCCCCCCCCCCCCAAAAAAAAATATGCAAATATATCATGTTTATTGTTATTTATAAAATCAATAAATAAACTTAGGAAAAAACACTTCCTACACTTTTTAGAGACAAACATTACATAAATGTAAGTTTCATGTAAAATGGATAAAAATGAGAGTACCAACTCGTTTAAACTTGAAAAATAAATCATTAAATGAATTAAAGTCTAAGGTGCTGCCATCTGTGACTGCGGTTGACAAACCAATTTCCTCCAAAATTGGCACCCTTACAGATAGGCTTACGTGTAGTCAGGTGTATAAGTTTCATGCAAATCGTCCGATAAACATAAGAAAAAAAAATGGAAAAAAACAAAAAAAAAAAAAAAAATTAATAAAACTAATTATATATATATATTTTTTAATATATGCTATTGTGATAGCAGTCATAGACATGATTTCAGTTGACACTTAGCTCAATAATTTAAGAATGTTTATGCAGATGGTGAATCACAATAATGTGGCTGAAGATATGATGACCAAACCACAATTTTCTTATATTAATGAAGAATGTTTACTTCCTGTGACATGTAATGATAAGCCATCTTTCTCCTCCTTCCCCACCCCACCTCTCATTTCTTGGTCCCAATCTCCCTCGTATTCCCCTCTCCCCATTTCACACCTCTCTCCCCTCTTCAAACATCTCTTTTCCTTCCCTCTCCCTCTTCTCTCCTTATATGTCTACCTTCTTCCTCACCTATCCAGCTTCTCTGCATACCATTCTCTGTCTATCAGTGGGAAAATGTTACAAGTGGAGTGCCTCATGGCTCTGTCCTGGGACCTAAGTTATTCATAATATATATAAATGATTTAGATTCAGATTCAGGTTTGAGCACCAGTATATGCAAAATTGCTGATATGAAAAATCAGAAGGGAGATAAACATGGAAAAAGACTCGCTATCACCAAGACACTAAATAGGGTTTTGAAATGGTCAAGATTGGCAGACGCAGTTTAATGCTGATAAATGCAAGGTTTTGAGGCTAGGTAATGACGATAAGAGTTACATGATACGAGCTAGATGACGTTGAGATTGCGAAGTAGGATTGCGAAAGGGATCTGGGAGTTATGATTAGGAAGAATTTAAAACAAAAAATCAATGCATAAATGCCATAAGGCAAATAGGACACTGGGTTTTATTTATCGAAGCATTAGTTATAAAACACCTGGTGTTATTCTTCACTATATCTTGCTCTTGTTAGGCCCATTTAGATTATGCAGTTCAGTTTTGATCGCCGTACTATAGAATGGATACAAAGTCACTAGAACGCATCCAGCGTAGGATGACAGAGTTAATTCAGCAAATTTGAAACGTGTCATATGAAGAAAGATTGACAAAGTTTAATTTATATTCTCTAGAATGTAAAAATTAGGCGAGATAAGCCCCAAGCATCCGGCCTTCAAGCTTCAACAGATTGACAACCATTCTATTAAATGTAGATATCTGATCCACTCACAAAGGGAAGGGGATACCATGATAAATAATTTCTGCCTTAGAATGGTAGCAGCAAAATACAGTCATTTACACATGGCTTTAGATACATAAAACAACAACAAAAAAAAGCAGTGTCCAATATACAATACTTACCCCAAAGTCTTTGCCAGAATGGAAGTCCTTTTTCCTTTTATCCGATTCCCTTTTCTCCTGTTCTTCCCTTTCTTTTAGTTTTCTCTTTTTCCATGCTAAGAATGTTTCTAAAGTGACTCTTGTTGTATTGTGGCCTAATGCAGCTCGCTCACGCTCCACAAGGTCTTCAAGGCTAATTTCTTCTTTCTGCTTATCCATTTTCTTGCGATCCTGATAAAAATATTTAATGGCTTCATAATAAAGACCTTTTATTATTTACACAAGTATTTTATCCGACACCATACAATTTCTTTTTCAATTCAAGAAAAGTGTTACAGTTAAGAATGCACAGCAGTTTGGCCTACAATAATAGGCTCAATTTTTCAAGGAAATTGAGGAAGTTGGGTTAAAGTTCATTAAGAAGGAATTTTATATTTAGAAATTTGTAATTCTCTTAGAAAGTGACAAACAATATACATACTGTACATTAAAGGAAACAATAATTGAAACAGTACAATATCCTTTTTATAGCTCAAATACCCCCACACTGCTAAAGAACCTGAGCCCACAATCTGATGAATTCAAATACAGCATAACTTACCTTCTTGAGTACAAAGCCTGGGGGCAAGGCATGACGATAAATACACACGCCTCCATTAGGACACTCCCAAAACCAACCATATTTGCCATTCTCCACAGCATCCAAAAAGAACCTGCAAACCTGTAAACAAGATAAAGATAAACTTTTCCTCATAGTAAACTGTTTAAATAATAACAGCAACTATAAATACTGTACTTTGTTTTTACATCATTGTTTACATACAAATAGGCACCCGTGTTAAAAAATTTCTAAACAATTCTTGATTAGAATGCTTTAGTTTCTTTAGAAACTGTTAAAATAATAAAGGGAACTATAAATACTTTCTGTTATCGCATCTTTGTTTACATAAAAATATGCACCTGTGTTAAAAATTTCCAAACAATTCTTCAGAATGCGTTTCAAGTGTCACAATATTTAAAAAAGGGTTGATCATGTGCAGACAAGTGAAGTGTGTAGAAGAGCACAACACTTACAATTTCGGTACTGGGCTTGGACTTCTCCTTCCCATGTTTCTGCTCCACTACATCTAAGAGAGTCGCCTCGTCCCAGTCCGCACTTGTCTCTTCCCTGTCTCTTACATCAACATAGGCACTACGTTTTTCACTCTGTAAAAGGGGACAAATTCATGGTAACATCTTTTGTTTTAGGGCAACTTACGGGTAAATTAAGTACAGTATCGGACAACTGAAGCATGTATTTTTGGGCTTGTGACATTATGGAGAATTTAGGAAAATGGCACAAAATTATTGGTGGCATGATCTGGCTCTGGTAGGCCATGAAAGCTTGATTTACTTACATTGGTCATAAACAAAATAATGATACAATGTACAAAATTTTATTTGCTTTTGAAGGTGTGTGTGTGTGTGGGGGGAGGGGGGGGGGGGTATTACCCTCCCCCCCAAGAGAATAACAAGTATAAAAAAATTAAATAAATATGAATGTAATGAAATGCCTCTGTCTGAAGCTAGACACAGTATAATGAAATAATCAATGATGGAGTCAGAGTTTGTCTCCTGTGGATTCCTTCCCATATGGGTCTCTGAATGCATGATAGAACTGATGAGTCAGCCAAAACATTTGCTCATAAAGAGGGAATTGATTACCATCTTGGACTGCCTTTGAGCAGCCTGAGGACAGTAATATTCCGGGAACATCAACAAAATCTTGTAGACTTGAAGCAAGGTGAAATTCACACCAGTTACTTTATCTATCATCATACTATTATGCAGGAAGAACTGCACGTCTATGGGTCATCCAATAATGTTAGCAGACTTCTAGATTTTACCACTGCTAGGCTTAGGCTCGGCTACAAGTATCTTTGGGAGTTTGCAATATTTGCTGATGTAGATTTGACTAAATGTAAACTCTGTCAGCAAAACTTTCTCATACTTTGCATCATTATATAATGGAATGTGAAAAAATTGCAGAATTCAGAGATAACACCATCAATGGAGTACAAGAATTGTGTAAGCACTTCATTCATGATGATGTACTGCCCGAAATCTTGGCAAAGTATCCCAAATTTTCTTACCGTAGGTAATGCATGCACATGACTGTAAAGCTGCCGCCCAGTTGGGTGGGTGTGGAGCAAGACTAGTAACTGCGTGACTCATCATAGATGTAAACTGCCTTGTATAGTGACTGTTGTGAACCTCTTGTTGAATCACTTGTGATATAAAAAGATTATTGATATGTATTTGTGTAAATGATGGTACGGTATATATATATATATGTGTACATGCAGAAGATGAGTCACAATAATGTGGCTTAAGATATAAAGACTAAATCACACACCAGAAAATAAGATGACGATGATGACGTTTTGGTCTCTCCTGCACACAATCGACTTCATAATGGTCCAGGACAGACCGAAACGTCGTTGTCCTCTTATTTTCTGGTATGGCTTATTCTTTATATAAGTACATGTGTGTATATAACATTAACAATTGTGTAACTAACTTCTAAAGATTGCCAGTTGCTTAGCTAAATGAACTATGGGGTTTAGATTCTGAACCCATTATGTGCCTCTCTAACCCTTTCCACCACCGCCTATGGGATGGGTATGGGGTGCATAATAAAGAAATTGAATCTGATGGGTTCTTGATGCTTTCTATCCGGCAATCTCCACCCAATGCTATCTGTATTAGTGCTATAGATACAATCAGAGAACAGAGTATGAACATTAGAGGTCCAAGGTTGTTCAACATCCTTCCAGCAAGTACTGTACAGTACAAGAAATATTGCTGGAACCAAAGTTCAACATCCTTCCAGTAAGTACTGTACAGTACAAGAAATATTGCTGGAACAAAAGTGGAAGTCTTCAAGAAAAACTGGACACTTTAAGTGCCAGACCACCAGGGTGTAGTGGATATGTGACCCTGCAGGCAGCTCTAAGCAACAGCCTGTTGGACCAAGTTCTCACAAGTTATTCAACAAGTTCTCAACAAGTTCTGTTGTATCAAGTTATCATAAGTCAAGCCTGGCCCAGGCTTGGGGAAGTAAAACGCCAAGAACTTCATCCAGGTATATACATACCAGGTCCATATGAGTCATTGTAAATTTACCACAGACCAGAGGCTAAAACCTGGCATCCTTCTAGAGGCACAAGGAGCAGGGGATCTGAAATCACTAACAACAAGGAAAATAAAGCATAGAAAAAAACAAGACGGCAAAGCCCCAAGACAAATGAACCAACTGGTTGTGCAGAAGTTCTCATGTTAGTTCCACCTGTGCACCACCAGAAACATGTGCACCTTCCTCCTCGATCCCTTAGCCATGAATCTCAAGTCTGTTTTCAGTCATGAAAACAGAAAAAGTGAAGCCTTTTGACAAAGAAAAAAGACGATCTCAAAGACACACCAGAAAGATGCATTTCCAGATGTACACTGATTTTCTGGAAGGGCTACTATTGGACTCCTTGGTTCTGTCACCATGGATACAAAAAATAGGGGGTACTCAGCAGGAGTGGAGAGCCACAGAAAGTAATTCCCATGAGAGGGGGAACTAGTGACAAGTTAACCACCCCAAAGCCACACAAGCCCAATGCAAACCAAGAATGCTCACTAAGTAACAAGCCACAACACTGCAGGACCGCCAGAACTCCCCTCGAGCCTAAACATATGTTCAAGATAATTGAAAAATGCAGACACAGCTGAAAAATTATGATCATCATGGGCCCGAGGGGAGACCATAGGATGGATAAACTTGATGACACTGCAAAACCCTGTAGCAAATGGACCTTGAAAAAATCAACCAAGGCCAGCAGATCCACAGAGCTTTACCAAAGGAACACTAGTAACAGAGAACATAACTCAATACTGTAAATGAGGTTGACACTTGAGTAATTACCCCCCCCCAAACCAAACCAGCATCAACCAGCAAAGGAACCCACCAAAAAACAATCATCTCATTCTTAGCCAGAAAGGAAGCAGGGGGGCCGTGAGTGAAGGAAACTACCCCAGGATCTAAAGAAAAAAAGTCCTGCTTCCAGAAAACTGGAAGCAAAGGACCAACAAAAAATAAAGCCTTGAAGAAACAATCCTGGATCCAAAGGGACAACAGAAAACCTGAGAGAAGAATCAAAACTTTGTCCAGAGACCATGACAGCTCTGGAGGAATATGAACAGGCAGTAGGTGAAAAAATGGCCAACTTGTGAAATGAGGCCGATGATACGTCGATATCGAATGCCAACAGCAAGGGGGTCAACCACAGCCGAATGATATGAGGCAACAGTATTTGGCATGGGAAGCTTATCCATAAACAACCAAAACAAAAACACTAAGATCACAGGTACAGAAACCAATGACAAGCAATGGAGAGAGGAAAAGATATAAGGATGCCAAGAAACCTAATACTGTACTGTCACCGCAATGAAAGCTGCAGGTGAGACACCAAAAGATTGACCACCTGCAAATTGTACAAAACAATAGTGGACTCTCCCACAGTAAAAATTCTCAATGTGTACCTGGAGAGGGTTTTGCGAGTTCTTCTACTCCCTGAGGCCAGGCTCGACTTATAACTTGATCCAACAGGCTGTTGCTTGAAGTGGCTCGCAGGCCCACATATCCGCTACAGCCTGGCTGGTCCAGCACTTTTTGCAAGACCTTATCTAAGACTCTTGAATACATCCACCTTTGTTCCAGCCATATTTCTAATGCTTGCATGGAGGGTGTTAAACAGCTGTAAACCTCTGATGTTCAGACAGCACTCTCTTATTGTGCCTATAACACCTCTATCCCTCACTGGTTCTATTCTGCATTTCCTTCCATATCTTTCGCTCCAGTATGTTGTTATTCTACTGTGCAAATCTGGGACCTGGCCTTTAAGTATCATCCATGTGTAGATTGGTGGAGAGCCTCGAACTATCAAGAAACATCTCTGGGTCTACCAGCTGAAACAGCTGGAGCAGGAAACACTGGGCAAACATTGCTCACTAAATAATACAATCACTGAAAACATCCTGGAGAAAAAGGTGACTTAAGAGATTGAGCAGCACACCGTATTATGAGCACAAGAACATCCTATGCGACAATTATATAAAAACCAAAACTGCCACCATCTCTAACGTCTTGCAAAAGAATCAAAGACCCCATGCACTGCTAAGGGCGAGGCACCTTCCACCAAAGTCAGCCTCTCAGAAATGCCCACCCAAAACTGCCAGAGAAGGTAACTGGCCTGACAGGGGCAACACCATCATACACTTGAAGATGATCGCTAAGCACATGTAGTTCAAGGTGAACAGTTACATCAGTCCACGCAGGAAGTTAGGCATAAAGATGCGCGTATTGTAAAGTAAACACCAAAATACAAAATAAATTCATAAGCAAGTGCCCTCAATCTCCCGAAGAACAGAGTCCAGGATGGCCAACTCTCGTCTGAAAAAACGGGAAATAAAGAGCACTAGTGCAAAGAGGCGCATAATAGAGAATGTCGAACGTAAGCACGAACGTAAGCAAAATGACTAAGGATCACGGCCAATGGTTGGAGAAGGAAGGTGAACATTCCCTTGGTGGTGCACAGGTGGAATTAACAAGAGAATTGCTTTGTATGTGTTGATTTGCCCACCTTTCTGGTGTCCATTTCTTGGTTAGGGTAATCTCAGACCCCTTGCTCCTTGCACCTCTTCAGAGGGAGGAGGGGGACCCAAGTTATGGCCTCAGGTCCCCAGTAGGTTTAGAATGACCCACAATGGCCTGGTGTGGAGTTTGCCAGGTAGCAAGCACCAAGAAGCCGCAAATACAAGCTCTCCCAAAAACTGTTCTATCAAATTTATGGAAAAACATGGAGATTATGGGACAATAAACTTACAAATTCCTATTTGCTAAATTTTTGGGCGTAAAATGCCTTCCCCTAAATTTTGTATAAATATTTAGAAATAAAAAATGAAGAAATTATGGAACAAGTAGATTATGAGAAATTATATACTTTTGGTTTGCACACACACGGTCCATTAATCCACACAGAACGACAACCTGCTCTGCGGGTCTTATTTTTGTGCATGTACTTACGCACTCAAAGAGAATTGCACATCACCTTAAAGTTGTTATACTGTCAACCAGCTGCACAAGTTCATCCATAAAGTTTCCTCCATTGTTATTACATATAATTAAATCACTAATAACATTGAATAATCATGAATATCCCGCTTCATAGCTGTCGCAGAGTGAAAGGGAAGGTTGATACTTTCCTTACCAAGACTAGGTGGCCACTCATCCCTTTCCTAGTTCATCAAATCAAGGCCTACTATCTCCGGAGATCTCTGGTAGTTGTGTTCCCAAATAAACATTTGCATTTTATCCACAGTGTTCCATGCATCTTCTGCTCATAGGTGAAGTCCACACACCCAAAAATCTCAATATAAATAGCAAACTATTTACCCACAGCAGAAGGGTAAATAACCGAGTTGCAGACTACTAACTGCTTAGAATTTATAATGGAATTAAAAATTCGTAAGATACTTGATTCTGTAACCATAATATAAGAAAATTATTTTGCATATAACATAAAACTAAATTTTAAATACTAAACAATTACGACACTTACCTTACGCTCCACATTGAGATCGTGAGAGAATTTACACTTTGAGCCCTTTCCACATTGACCCTGCTTGAAGAATGCACACAAGACTGATTTTGGATCAGCACCTATTAAAGGAGTAAAATATGATATAAAACAGAAATCTCATTAATCATGGTCTATATCTTTACTCTTAGAAACGTTGTTCTCAACTAGATTATATTTCAATCACATGAGGTGTACTCCATCTCGAGATACACACAGGCTTGTAAAGAAAGCACGGGGTGGGTGAAGTGGCTTTGTTTGTAGTGGTTGAATCTGCAGTGGTGGTTGTGCTTTGTAGTGGTTATGGTTATCTATCTTGAGATGATTTCGGGGCTGTAGTGTCCCCGCGGCCTGGTCCTCGACCAGGCCTCCACCCCCAGGAAGCAGCCTGCGACAGCTGACTAACACCCAGGTACCTATTTTACTGCTAGGTAACAGGGGCATAGGGTGAAAGAAACTCTGCCCATTGTTTCTCGCCGGCGCCCGGGATCGAACCCGGGACCACAGGATTACAAGTCCAGCGTGCTGTCCGCTCAGCCGACCGGCATTGTTTGGTATTTGTATGGTATTTTGTATGGCATGGTATTTGTTGTGGTGAAATGCTTTGCACATTAGTGGCCTTATTTAATATATACATACTGTACTTTGTAACAATTACGAAACTACTGTATATTATTCTTTGGTACTTTCTTTAATATTTTTTTTTCAGACCTAGCTCTTTATGCCATATTTTCAAGCCTTTTCTATGACATGCTTGTTACATCTCTTGGCATTCAAATTCTGCATTGCATTTTTGTCTTGAAGTTGTAGATTAAGCGGAATTTCACAGAATTTGTTCAATGCATTCCACTTGACAACAACTCATATAGGGGTTCAAGAATTTCCTTATACAATATCTGGATTGTGTATCTATCTTCCTCCGATGTAATCTTATATCTCCTCCCAATCTAAAGCTGTCCTTGTCCAACTTGACTACTCCCCTCATTATCTTCCATGAAGTGATCTAAACAACTTCTCTCGTCTAAGGTTGAGAGATTGAATTACTTTAACATTTAATCACAGCCAAGTACTTGTCTAGCTATAACCCTCTGTACAAAAATCTCAACTTTTACATTGCTCTCTGCGATTTCCTCTCCATACTCTAGCAACAGCATTGTGTAACCTCTATATACTGACATGAAAGCCTTCTTATTTATCTGTACACATGTTAGTCAACTTTCATGTGTCACTAATGTTATATTTATATATTTCTTGTGTTAGCATTGTATTTATATTCACTTCTAGTTTTTTTATTGCATCTGCCTTTTACTTAGTGTACTTCCCTACAGGTTTCTTATCTCCCTTTCCCATCATTACCTTGACCTTTTTGGGACTGATATCCAATAGCCATTTCTCTGCCAACTCTTGAAGTTTGGCAAGGGTTTTCCTCCAGCTCCTTACAATGCTCCTTAGTTTCTTATTAGTTTTGTACCATCTGGGGGTCAGACCCCACCATTAGGGGGGGCCTGACCCCACTTAGTTATACTTAGTTATAATGTTGTAGTTACAATAGTTGAGGTACAGTAGTGGTAGTGTTGGGTGTGATTGTAGAAGTGATGGAAGAATAGGAAGATAGGGTTAGCAGTGGTATTATGTGGTGCAGTGTCTACACTCGCAGGTTTCTGGGATCTCATCATAGATAACATACAGGAAGAAACACTGAGAGCCAAAAACATCAGTAGACAAAGACGTGGGCAGAGGTAAACAAGTGTCATGCTTGCCCTACATAAACAATGAAAGGTGGTAATTTTTTATATCATTCAAAAATAAATATTCATTACATTATATAAATAATAGGATAAATTTAAGATATATGTTGAGAGCAAATATTTGTAGTAATGTGCATGTAAATTGTTAAGTGAGATTCACCTATATACTCATTACTCTTCAGGAGCACTCTTCCTCACAAACTTCCAAACACTGTGTCCACAATTTTAATGAAACCCCCTGCCAAACATTTTACCACTATGTGGAGTAATTAGCTTCACATTCCCAGAATAATAAGGGTTGGGGTTTTCAACTGGTGATTTATATGAAAGTTCTTCTGGCAGTGTAAGGCAAAAGAAACGAAAAGAAAAGGCCTTGTTTTCTAATTATTATTATTATTTGGAGTACTGTACACTATTACAGCAACTACTTTCAGTATAGTGTATTTCTGTTTTTTTGTGAGGCTGATACCTCCCTACCCAACGACAACAGGACATAGATTAAAGGTAATGAATGACTATCCATTTAAATAGTTAAGAAATGATGAATCACAGTAATTTACCTTTACTTGCAGTTTGTTGGACTGGTCGGAAAATGGCATTGATCTCGGCTAGCTTTTTCTTCTCGTCGTCCTTCTTTTTTAACGGGTTATCCTTTTCAAGCTCTCTTGCACTTTTGGTTCCTCCATGCTTAACTTGGTGCTGCACCTGCTGGATAAACTTCTGTTGCTTTGCTCCTTTCTTGTTCTTCAGGCCAAATGTCTTGTCCTACAAGATGATAACATTACATGTACAGTATATATTCAGTAAATATTTGCTGAAGCATACATTTTAAAGATTACTGGACTTTAAGTACAGTAGTATACAGATTTCCATCTTTCACTCCTCCACTGTGACATTTTACTTATAACCCTTTCCCCAGTATGATTGGTTTCTATTAATTAAAAAATTTGTTATTTCTCATAAAACTGTAAAGGAAATATTGGCATTTTCAGGATTTGTTTAAAATAGTCCAGGCACTAGAATTTGACCACAGTAGGCAGAGAAGATATACCCCCAGTGCGTACAATAATTCAAACGCTGAATATAATGAAACACACTTTTCCGGTGGTTCCAAAGCTGAACCTGACTCAGGTACCATCAAGCCTTAAGAGACCCATCCATCATGTCACGGGAGGTAGTACCAGGATCTCATTCCCAATATGAAGTGAGGGAATGCAGGAATCAGAACAAAATTAGAGAAAACCAACCAGAAAGCATAGATACAACAAAACAAGGAAGTGCATGAAGAAAATCAGGCACATCTTGGTAAATAAGACAACCAATCATTATTGCAGAATAAATACTTTTAAATGTGCTTGACCACCATCAGATGGCAAGCCCAGGTCAACTGAGATCTCAAGCCAGCCTGTTAATTCACTCTGGAGCCAGGTGCCCAAAACCCCACAGTCCAACAAGAAAGAAGAGATCTGGGCACAGACCGGGTCACTAGAGGTACACCAGAAAGGGACGTTTCATCACATTTAATACTAGATATTTGGGAGGGGCCACCTGTCTTTGCCCGAGTTTACTCACAACTGTGGCTCAATACTGAAGGGCAGCTTTCATGAAAAACAGCACACACACTGAGCAGACCCATAGGAGAACAGCAGCAGAGTGTGTGATGTCCGGGTAAATAATGACAGCTATGCACCATACACTTAAGTGCGCACTAGTACACACAGATTGAAGGACAACCAACAATGAGAAGCCATCAACAGAAGGACTGCCAGAAACCATGTGTCCAAACATCAGCTATTGACAAACTAGGTCACCTCCTGGACTTCATACAGATGAGATCAGAACAAGGGAGATGAGAAATGTGTGATAAGTCCCGATCTTAACAGTGTACAAAACTGTCACCCTACAACCACAGGAGTGGTTGTAATTATTATAATTATACAGCATATTATATATAGTACATGTTTATGCATAGAGTATTACAACATATTACATATATTTGTTTACATATGTAAATAGCACAATATATTGTATACATATTACAACAAATTATAATTATGAACAGATTTGTGAAACAAAGTAACAATACTCTTCAATGTGAACCAGAAATGGAACAACCTGCTACCGACCAACATGATTCAAAGTACTGTACAGTACTGTACTGTACTATACACGAAACTTTAGATAGTATTATAGTGTAGATGAATATTACAAGAGGTTTAATGATTGATGTAACAATGCCCAGATTAATGCTGGGACACATTAAACGGGCAGCACACAGCTGTACGTATAGAACCGACATCAACGAACTCTGCAGCCACTGTCAGGTGCCTGAAACAATCCAACACAATCTCCTCCTGACATCATAGTCAAGTCTTGAAAATGGCCACTATGATGATCACTTATATTCTTGTGTGAAAGATGCATTTTTATACGCACTTTATTATGCAAAATGAAACAAAAAATATGACATTATAAACTAGCAAAAAGACAAAAAAATTATCAGTGCTACACACTTTTCTGGAAGTTTTTCTTAAAATGCTACACATTTTTCTGGAATTGTCACGAGTTTTGTAACATTTGGTCATAACATAGTAGTTTCAAAACCTAGTGTCTTGCCATAGAATTAGGTTGTGTCTAGTGGAGAGTTTAGCCTGGGAGGTGGAAACTGACTGGGGCCAAATACAGCTGTATTAACTTGATACATAAAGTTTATAATAAGATTTGACCAGCTGGTGAGCAGTGGTTGCTACCATGCTTATGAAGCAAATCACAAATGACACTAATGCTATTTTTCGAAAGTAACTTCGCCTCACTTTGTATATTTAAAGTGCACTACATACAATGAGTCACACTTGAGAGAACTAAAGCCACAGCTGAAGGGTTACTAGCAAGTGTTTACCGCACGCCGGGTCCCTTGTGGTGCGGCGGCCCTGTCCCCCCACCACTGTCACCTGCACCGGACAAGCAGCCCTCACACACACACACACGCCACACTTCAGCTGGTGTGTGGAGATGACCCACACCACACCACTCTCGCCTCACACAATTACCTGCTCAAAATATTTCGTGCGAGACTAAGGTGGAAGAGGGAGAGGTGGTGTGGGTGGGAGGGTGTGGGAAGGGGGCCTCCACTTCCCAACTCGCTCTCACGCCTACCTCGATTATTTTCTCCTTTTTCTTCTGGTCCGTTTTTTTAGACTGGGTCGCTCCTCCTTTCTGGCCATTTTTAGGAGGCATTCTCGCATGTGCGCCGAAATTAGAGTGGGAAAAGTGTGCGGAGGCGAGAGCGCGCGTCAACGTGCCCACCAGAACAGCTGTGACCGCACAATATCTTGGTTCCTTCTCTACAATAATTCCACATAAAATCAAACACAATTTTAAATTTATTTTCCAATACGATATTAATAACGGGAGCGGACTGTGAGCATTAGAGGTGTGTGAGTGGTGGTGTGGAGGTGACGGGAGAAGGAACCATCGCGCCGGAGTTCAAACTGTTCATGATGGCTTCCCTGTGACGACCCCGACACGGCCTCACCCAGCGACCCCCACACAATAATGCCGCTCTAGGCCCGTACACGACCCTCCCCGTGGATTATTCTCCTCGGCTCGGACCCCCGCACGTCACACGCTGGAATTATGCTGGTGCAGGAGCCCGTTCAGGTGAGGCGAGGAGGAGAACCAGGCGTCAAATATGGCCAGGAGGGAGATGGAGGAGTTGTTGCCTCTGACCTCGATAACGGAGGAGCAGCCTTTGGTGCTTATTTATCCCCTCTGGCGCCTGCACCGTGCCCGCCCGCCCTCGCTGGTGTCGCCGCCCACCAGGGCGGTGAGGGCGCCACCCACTGGCCACTTTACAGGCAAAGTGGGTGTGCCTGTATAAATCGCAATTAACGAAGTTAATTCACTACTGTTGTGTTGCAAGTTGTGTATTAGACAATGTTTATTACCCAGGTGACACGTTAATGTTATGGTGGCGTGTGGAGGCTGTGGCCCTCCTCGCTCTTGTAGGGGCAGCAGGGCAAGACGGTATTGTTCATTGTTGCCGTCTTAATTAGAACAAGAACAAGGTTACCTGAATTTACCTGAGGGGCCACCATCTCGGGTGGCCTTGAGTTGGATAGGAAGCCAGCGGCTTGTCAAGAGGTCGCCCCGTTTATCGTGATGCTATTATAGAGCCTGGATCTTTAACTGCAGCAGTGTTTTGACATTTACGGCTTCGGCGGGTAGGCTGTTCCATGGGTTTATATAATCCTGTGGGTGGAAAAAGCATCTCCTGTTTACAATCGTACACGGTGGCTTGTTGTTCAACCATGTTGGAATTAATCCCCCCCCCCCCTCAAAAAAAATAGTGAGGTTAAATAAATAATTTTTGTTTAAGTTATCAAGATGTTTTCAACAGTATTCTTTGGGCATTTGTCTATTCCAACGTGGTTTCACATTGTTGGCATATACGATACACGGGTTGAGTCAAGTGACCGTTGGGGTGAGGTTCCTGTGTGGTGAGTGACGGCCCACACCAGAGGTGTACAGCTGACCACCTCTGGTGTGGTAAACACGACCAAAGTTGCCATACGAGACTCGCCTGCAAGTGTTTGGTGTGTGTGGATCTAATGTGTCGATACATTTTAATACTACAATATACTGAGCCTTGGTACAAATGAGTTTTCATTATAAAAAAATCATGGTTCATAAAATGGCCCAATTTTCAACTCTAACCAGAGCTAACCAACTTGACTATAACCTTACCAAACCAAACTCATAAAGTAGAAAATTGTGGCTGGCTGGGAGGGATTCAACTTGTTAGAGAAATGGCAACACTCCCCCCCCCCCCATCCTACTCGTCCAATAGATTGGACTAGAAGGTAGGGCAACGGTCTCACCTCATGCAGGCCGGTGTTTAATTCCTGACCATCCAAGTGGTTGGACACCATTCCTTCCCTTCCATTCCATCCCATCCCAAATTCTCATCCCTTCCAAGTACTATATTGTTCTAATGATAGCACTTTCTCCTGATAATTGCTTTGCCTTAACCCTCCCCCCCCCCCCCCCCCCACTGGCCACATTGTTGTGATCCTCTCCCACCGCCCAGTGTGGCGACCTCCCTCGCCCGCAGTGTGGCGACCTCCCTCGCCCGCAGTGTGGCGACCTCCCTCGCCCACCCTTGTTTAGCATGTTTAGTGTGCAAGGTTGTAATGATTCTAATGTCATCAATGTGAGTACTGTATGTCAAACACCGCTGACTACTGACATTAATTACCTTCCTAATTACCCATATGAATTTTTATATTTGCTGATAACCCTTGCACTTAACCTGTTCATTTATGCAGTTGGGACACAACAAATATAACTGCTTTTTAAACTATTCGGAACCTATTGGCAATCAAATGCTTTGTTGTGGAATGTTTGATTTTTCCCCGTAAAATATTTGGAAAATGGAATGCGATTCATAATGTGAGTTAATAAACATGTACTGTACCAACATAAACATGGGAGTTGGCTGTCCAAGTGCACACTTAGATTTTACTCTCAGTAAATTTAAATTAGAAATGTTTTACAGTAAAATTATCATCATTTTACTGTAAATTATTAGATTCTTCCATGCTTATATCATTTTAAAGTAATTGAAAATAATCCTGGGTTCTATTTCAGGCTGCAATATGGCATTGCCTGAACCACTATGCATATGTGGATGCAACGTTTCTGGCAGAAAGACTCCTAGCGGAAGGTATGTACAGATCTTGCCATACTTCTATTGGAAATTTGTCTTTTAATAGTTCCAACAATATTATGGTTACAGGTTAATGAAAATCAAATTTAAAAAGACTGACAAGTGTCAATGACACTTGAAACATTTTTTTCAACCTCCAATTTATGGAATAAGTTATAATTGTTGAATGTAAAGCCATAGATGGAGTTTTGTACGTTTTATTAGCTTGAAACATCGTTATATACCACAGTTTCATGTGTACTGTACTACCATACTGTACTGTATTGTGTACTGTACTGTATTTGTGTACTGTACTACAATGTTAGTTTACATACAGTATACACATCACAGTATAAAATATTAATTTTCTACTGCATACTGTTTTTAGTATTTTTTCCATTTATACATTATAAAGCTTTGTAAAAAAAAAAATTCTTCCATTATTTCTCGCAATGAATCTGTTATTTAGTGGATTCTGATGAGGCGTTACACCTGGTGGCAACATCATATTACCGCTCGGGAAAGCCAGGTCGCGCCTACTCTGTACTTCATGCACACGGTACACGCACACCACAACTCAGGTTCCTTATGGCACGATGCTGCTTCGACCTTGGAAAGTAAGTGTTCAAAGAATGCACTTCTCACTGATTTTTGTGGCTTTTAAGGTATTTCATTTGTTCAATTTATAGTTTTAAATCTTTGCCTCTATTCGTATGGAAAATTGTAGCTCTTTGATGATTGCTTTTGCAGTTACAGTATTTGTTGATTAATATCTTGTATTATTTTTTGTGCACAGGTTGGAAGAGGCAGAAACAGTACTGACTGGTGGTAGTGTTTTGCATCCTAAAACAGTCGATGATCTAGCCACTGAATATGGGGACTTGGCTTGCTTTGCTCTTCAGCTTCTTGGACTCATATGTGCTAGAACTGAACGCCTCTCGAGAGCAACGGAAGCTTTCAAGCGGTCATTAAAGCTTAACCCTTTCTTATGGCAGTCATTTGTTGCGCTCTGTGATCAGGGAGACAAATTGGATCCCTCAAAGGTGTTTCGGTTAGATTCTCTTGAGGCATTTTCTAACTGCCATGGCAGTACGGTGCTCACCCTAGTAAATAGTGCCAACCCAGCAAATAATGTTAGTGTCAGTTCTGAATCGGGAGTTTTAAACAATACTTTAAACAGTGTATCGGTGAACAATCAAGATACTATTCAACAGACTCCAACAGTGACTCCTTTTCAAAACACTCCAAATAATTTATTACCAGTGGTTAATACGCCAGTGCAGAACTTAAGTAATGTGATTACCCCAGTTCCGATAACTTCTCTTAATACTCCTGTTGCTGTGACTATAACACCCTCACTGGACCGAGGTGTTGGAGACTCTGGGGATGGTGTTCTCCAAGCACCCAAAAAAAAGAAACTCATTCGGATTCGAAGCATAATGGGCGGACCCCTGTCCATAAGTCCGTTGACACCCAGCTTTGGGGTCCTTCCTTTGGAGGTAACAAGTCCTGTGTGCGACTGTGAGCATTCATCTTTAAATAGTTCTGTGGCCTTCCTCACACCTTCACCACTCTCACTATCTCAACTTGATGCTGAACCTAACACCAAAGTTCCTCCACCAATTAGTAAAAGGGTAAGTTGGCAGATTGAAATCTATTTAATTCTATGTTGCTCTTTAATGTTCTAAGTTTTGATATTATTGTCAGTTGTTACAGGGCATATACTTTGAAAGGAGTAACTTTCATTATTAAATATACAGTGCTAGTCAAAACAATGTGCCGTCTCAAGCAGAGGGGCACATACTTATGGCAAAAAAAAGAATGATGGCCTTGTGGGTGAAAGATTGTAGACAGAAGTAATGTCTACATGATGTCACAGCAGGCGATCCTGGAGCGACCACAATACCAGGGTCAGTGGCCTCCTGGCTGTCATCGTGAGTGGATGTGTGTTGTGTTTTACTCTGTGGCTGTCCACTTTTTTCTACTTACTGTACTAGTGGTGTGTGTGTGGTATGACATCATTATGTCATGTACCAAGGAACTAAGCAAGGAAACCATTGCTTCAAAGGAAGCAGGCCACCAATTTAAGGAAATAAATCAATTGTTGGGTGTAGCAAGTCAACATGTGAGAGTATTGTGTGTGTGTTCGAGGGGAAACAGTTGTGGTACCCCATCACAGAAACTTTGGTCTGGTCATCGCAGGAAGAAGTCTTCAAGGCCCACCTTTGCTGTATCATAGAGTACTCTGCAATGAATGTTTTAAAATGTTCACATACCTTGAGGTCTGTGATGGTTCTGTGATTACGTGTCACCACTGGAGGCCATGTGTCACCATTGTTTTCCCTCTCAGAAATGTGCACAATACTTCATGTTGACTTGGCTACACCCAACAATTGATTTATTAACCTCACTTTGGTGACCTACTTCCTTTTGAAGCAATGAACTGAGCAATGATTTCTTTGCTTAGTTCCTTGGTAGGTGACATAATACTATAGTACCACCAACACCACTTGTTAACTGCAAAAAAACACGTCAATATGACAGTGAGACTCACAACACAACCTCTTGCTATGAATGCCTGGGGGAAATTTAAGCCCCCTTAGCTGTGCATGTTAAAGGGCAGTAGTACACACCATGAAGTAGTACCCAGCACATACTTCTATCAACAATCTTTCGTCCACAAGACCCCTTTTTTTCTTCTCTCTCCATACATATGCGCTGCCTCAAGCAGGGCGGCGCATAATTTTTACTGGTACTGTGTATGTCAAGTTAATTCTTAACATTTAAAGTACAGTACAGAATATTTTGTTAAAATCATAATTAAAACCTGAGCTTACATGCAGCCACATACTGCAGTGGTAGAGGCTGTATACTAGTAATATTGGGTCATTAAAATACTAGATAGGGTTAGGGACTCTTTTCAAGTTTTTGTAAGGTGTAAAAGACTTGTATGTATCAACTAACCTTATCAGAAAGGCATAATTTTACAGCAAAAATAAACAATTTGCAAGTATTTATCTTTGTACGACTGCAGTTGTTTTTGCTCCCAAATTGTTTTTGGCCTAAATGGGGCCAAAAATTTAACAAAATTATGAAATTGAGAAAATTACCTCTTTGGTACTATTCTGGTGTGACTGTAAGGGTCTTGGTCAAAAAGTATGTAGCTATATAAAATAGTCATCAGTTTTTTTTTATATATACATGTTGGCACAGTAATCAGTAATGACTGCTGAAGAGCACATTTAAGTTACATGTAGTGGACTTTTGCAGAAATAGTTGTTATAATTACTGATTTTGTTACAATGTCATTGTTTACAAATCCTGAGATCATTAGAGCCATTATTGTCTTGTATTTTTTTTTAGATGTTAAAACTTAAAATACAAGTACAGTATTCATATTGGTGTATCAGTATTTTTGTAGTATCAGTATGTGACAAGATATTGATATCGGTACATCTCTACTAAAAAGTAATAAAATATGCAAAATCATTGGAAGCGGATTTTGAGTTTCCAATTTCTAATAGAAAATAAATCCATATGAGGCTTAAAAAATAAATTGAATGTAATGAAATGCGTCCTGTTAGGGCCTTGGTGGCTCCCTGAATCCAGCTTGTCAAGATGGTTACACAAAGGTCACATCCGACTTAAAAATCCTGAATGGTGGCCTACTGAGGACCAGAGGATTGTTACAATCACCCTCACCAAGAAAACACCCAGAAAATGAGCAAAGAAATAGACAACTGCAAAGGTTAGTAGAGAAGACATAAAGCAGCAAACAAGTTGCTCAGTAACTAGATCAAACCCCCATTAGTCTTGGCCAATAATCAACAGGTGGCAGAACCACCAGGGGCTCTTGGCTTCCACCTCATCAGACCCTCAGTCTGGAGCCAAAAGACCATGAACTGATATACTGTACCTGGAAGAGGGGAAATGAGGTAACAGGGAACCACCGAGGCCCTACCAGAAAGATATTTCATTACATTCAGTGCTATTTTTTTGGAGGGGGGCCAAATGGTGGATCCCTGAAGCTAACAATAAAATAAAAGTAAAACACTGGACCTTCTGAGGTGGAGAGTGAAAATGTCACTCGAAGTTGAAACCTGGGACAAACAAACCTTGGAACAGAGATCCATGGAAATCGGGTCAGCAAATATAGTGTCCACAGAAACAATGTGGGTGGCACGCAGGTAGTGACAAACTATAGTAACCAGAGATAACAATGGTGCACCTCTGGCTATACAAATAAAGCACCAACTTTGCCAGAAAAGGAGAAAGCTTCAAATAAAGAAACCATCCACCAAGGCTGAAAGAACAAATCCCACACTCCTGGAGGGGAGCATGAAGCTGCCTCACCCAACAACCAGAAGCAAGGGGTCAACAAAAACTGAACCTTAAACATATTCCAGGCTGAAGGGACAACTGAGAACAAAGGGGAGGACAGAAAAGCCAAGTCAACACCCTATTGAGAGACCAATACAGCTCAGGAGGAGCACAAGCCAGCTGAAAATGAAAGTAGACATGTACTGTAGCTACTTGTGAGGGTACTAAAAATGTTTGTCAAATACCAACAAGAATGTCTCCACTTAGTCCTATGCCAACCAATAAACAATGAAGACAAAAAGGACATACCCACTGGAATGGACTCAGAAGAAACATGACAAAGATACAGAGGCAAAAGGAGTGCTAAAAAATTTTGTCAATTTGCAAAATCCACAAAGCAACCACCACACAAGTTCAGAACACCTGAAAGATTGAACACTTCCCATAACTTACGCATCAATGTTTGACAAAAGCCATGCCAAGCCCCCAAGAAAAAGTGAGGATTGTCAGCTAGCCAGGATGAATTGGGAACTTTGTTATACCTTGGCCAAAAAGGCAGAAGGACTTTTTATATAGGGGCAACTCTGGCACATCCACTCGTGCATCAAGCTACAAGCTATGAACATGAGCTAAATGAGCTTGCAAAGTGGCTGCTACATAACATGAACAAAGCTCCCCCCAAAAAATGACAAAGTTCACTTTTGCAAATACTGTAGTGGTAGACAGTAGAGTTAAGTGAGCTGGTGGTGGATGCCAAAACTGTCGGTAGTTTCAAAGTGTCATATGACAAGAGTACTGGGCAAATGGAACACCATGAGCGTTGCTCTCATCCTGTAACTACACTTTGGTAATCACACCCTAAAGCAAAAAACCCTTAATGCCCCAACCACAGAAAAGTCACTTGTACTATCCAGGATGAGGCACCCTACACAGTAGTATGGCTTCTTAGCAAACTCACTAGAGAAGTAACTGTCAGCATGGGCAAAGCTAAAATGAATGCCTAAGGAAGGGCTGCCCCGTACACATGAAGCTCGAGGCAAAGAATAAAAAAGTCCACACAACAAGTGGTGCTTGAAATACAGTTGCGAAACAAATACCAGTGCCGGGAATGACACACAAGTAAATAACCCCCTCATCCCCCCCCCCCAAGCCACAGGACAGTGTCCAATGGATGGTGTCCAATTACCTTGAAAAGAGAGAGCTTTTCACTTTTTGACCATCCATGGTAAATTTGCTGAAATATCTAGTACAAAGCTACATTACTAACTCTTTGGAGAAACGTGTGGTATAAATGGACACAATTAGGCACCCATTCCTCAAAGAAAATGATCCCCTATTCTTGCCTGAAGATGGCAGTACAATCCCAGTCATGGTCTTTTCAGATGAAAGAAACTATGATGTCCTCGGTCTTGAATTAAATGTAGGTGAAATATTTAATTGAAATGAAATATGTAATTGAAGATACAGTACTGGGAATCATTAATATTTAATATTGGTAAATTAAAGTTGAATTCCAGGGTTATTTGACTTTAAGATGAACTGACACCACTAGATTTTTAATCACCTTCAGGTGGTGATAGAATTTCCATTTCCTCTTGAGTCTTCTGGAGGAAATGAATATTTTTTTCCAAATCATTAAACGTTTTAAAATCACTGCAGGTATTCCTGTACTGTATTCCTTAATCATTTAAATTAACAATTCACTGAAAACGTTCAAAAACGAAAATGTAGGATAACTGCTTCATTACAATATAGTGTACATGGCTACACATTAGCAGCAGAAGATGGTAAACACCTATAATGATCAGGAGTGTTGTATGATACACCACCATCCTAACGTTTCTCAGTTCTGTTGTCAGTATCGTACAATTTTGCATTCTATGACGCCCAAATCATCTGGGTGGGTGTCATAGAATACTAGATAACATTTTTCTGCAGAGGATTAAACACAACTGACACTGATTTAAAATAACTATTTTGTGCATAATTTATTCCTATGTCAAATGGAAATACTGTACTGACTTTTTGTATTTGTAAATAACACACCTTAACATGCAGACCTCTTCTGGGTTTTTAAAATTTGAGAGAAAAAAAGGCAGAGGAAAATCATACTATAAAGAATTGCTTTAAAATAGATCATCGGTTGCCATTTTACTCCTACCTGGAAAAAGGACTGACTTTCCCTTGTCATGATTTACATAATGGACTGAGAGAATTCAATCCATTGGGAACTTGGGTCATGCCCACCTTTGTAAATTGAGAGATGAGGTGTTTCTCTGTAAATCTTGACTGGAGGACCAGTATTTTAACAGGATGTTAACCAAAATGTGCAAATAGGCGGTGTGATGGCTCTCACAAAGAGTTTGGCCATCCCACAACTGGAATGTGGCTTGGTAATTATCCCTCATTTGTAAAGAAATTTCACCAGTTTAAATATGTACAGTATTCTGGTAAATATTATACATACAATATTGTACAATATCCTAACAATATTGCACAACATTTCTGTAACATACTGCCTGTACCCACAGGTTCATAATCAAAATGACTAGACCTGTATATTCAGTGGTTCGTATCATGTGGAAGACTTTGAGATCTGATGAGGTATATACAGTAGTAGGAAGATACAGCTTGTTTGCCATGATTTGATTTTGAAAGGTTATTCCTATGACAGAGAACTGGCATCAGCCAGTTCTCTGATGTTTTCTCATCAGCCAGTTTGGTGATGTTTGGCATCACCAAACATCAGCTATGTTTGGTGGCTTGATTCTTGGGAATTTGCTGAGCATTCTTACATTAATTTGCAAGGTGTCGGAATGTTTTTGGCATTGTTTTCAGTTTATTTTTAGACACTTAGTTTTGGTGGCCAAACACCAGCTCTCCGAGTGTTTTCATTGGTAGTCGGTTGTAATTTTTTAACTTTGTGAGAAGCATTCACAGGATTATGGAAAATGGAACATTTGTATCATCTCTGTATTGGATACCTTAAATGTTTGTTATTTTAGTATATTTAAAGAGTACCTGTTATTTTTATGGATCTATCATATCCGGTGGAGCTTGCACAATAGTTTCATTTTGGCACTGGCGACTGTATAACAAATACTGCCTAAAGTGCAACATTGCGTTTTGGGTACTGGCATTGTTCGTCTCACTGGAGAGCATTCACATATAAAAGAAAAAAACAATTATGCAACTTAGTGAGACAGCCACCAGTTGAAGGAGAGTAAACCTGGGGTTATGGGAAGTGTGATCTTCTCAAAATACAGATTTAATGTTTTATTTTATTAACCGAGGAATAAAATTTGAACTCCATTTATTATTTATTCTTGGTAAACTTTTAATATTGTTTTTATTCATTAGTTCTTGGTATTAATATAAAAGCATCATGTTTTCTTAATCAGATTTAATTATAACTTGAAATAGGTGTATAAATTCAGTACTGTTTAGAATTTTAAAGTTCTACCAAAAAAATTTGGGTTCAACTATTCTTAACTGATGATGATGAACTTGTGTATCTTACACCAGAAAGGTGTGTTATTCTGTACCATGTTAATATTATTACTAAACAACTTTTATTTAAAGTATGTCCTTTAATGCATTGCAGTTTCTCAATAAGATAACAGAAGGATATTGTATTGTACTATGAAAAATGGACTGGCTTGAGGTCTTATGTAACACATCCTTGTGTAGAACTTGCTTAACTGTAATGCTTTTGTATGTCCTTGTTCCTCTTGTGGAATTGTCAAGTTCTTCTGTCATCACAAATCTGGAGTATTAGTGTATAGATCAAAACTATGTTGACCTTTTGTTGACAGATATTATGTCGAACTACAAAAGACTCTCCTCTGGTCCTTAACAAGCCAGCTGTGTTTGCGCCGGCAGGGAACAATAGCAACTTCCAAAGTCCTCCTACGGGTCAACCGAATCCAAATGTTCGGAGATCGTCCCGCCTGTTTGGTAACAGTAATTCTGTCAAGGTAAGAACATGTAATTAGTGTTACCTTACCTGAAGACTGTCGATACTTGTACAAAATAGTTCCCTTTTCTTTTTTAAAGTTCTAAACTCGTTTTATTCCGTATATTATGGGTGAGTGTTTCTTCCTACAGGAGAATAACAAGAGTCGTTTTGTAGCACCTAAGTCTCCAGCTCGGAAAACAAAAACCAGATCTTCAAAGAGTCAGTCGAGTCTTTCTGAATTGAATGAAAAAAATAAGAACGAAAATCAAGACATAATATCGCCCTCTGAAAAACCATTCCCAGAGAAACCAGCCACCCCTCAGAGTCTGATACAACAAGCACTCTCCATCCAGAAGCAGTCAGCAGGTCAGTGTCTGGATAACTTGTATGATTATTTTGCTTAACTTTAATAAATTGAAGTTGAATTGACTACAATATAAAAAAAATTGGATTCAAAGTAGTAATTGTAATATACAGTGCAACCTTTATTTTTGTGAACTATAAGACCAGACGGAATTCACTATAGTGATTAGTAAATTTTGTACTACCAGAGATGCCGTTTAAGAGAAAAAGGTGGAATGCATTTTTTCCTTCTTGCTCTCCAACAAGTACAATATTAATGTCAGAACTGGTTTTCTGCACGTGTTAAGTAATGTACAATACATTATTGCAAATTTACATGTATTGTTACTGGTTGTTTATTAGAAAAATGCAGCATTTCTTATCAATTATGAAGAATTGTACAATCGGTATATGTGGTAAACAACTGTAGCACTATAATATTATATTGTTATACAGTACTCTATTTATTTTTACTGCATATAATATAATATATAATATGTATGTATGTATGTAAGTAAGAAAGAAAGATGTCAATGACATAAATATTGTTGTAAATCTATATAGCTAAAAATATACTATATTGCCTAACGTTAATTATTCTTTTCTGGGCATAGAAGGATTGATGTCACTTTTAAGGGACATGGGTGCAGCATACCAGCAGCTTGCCCAGTACAACTGTGGACGAGCGGTAGAGTTGCTGACGGCCCTTCCCACCCAACATTATCGTACAGGATGGGTCTTGGCTCATATTGGCAAGGCGTATTTTGAGATGAATGATTATCAGCAAGCTGTCAAGTAAGTATGCTATTGAAGTTAAGAGTTTTATTTATAGTAAAGCTCTTGGCATGGCTTTGTCTATGGTAAACTTTTACATGAAGTAAAAAAGTAGGAGAGAGAAGGAAATTGTGTGAAATAAATGTAAATGAAGGTTTGGTAGTTGTTAATCAATTTAAATGCCTTGATCAATTTAAATACCTGGGATTAGGGTTTTGTAAAAGGAATTTGTGCAACTGAACTTGAGTATGGTCAGTCAAGAAAGGATTGTAGCTGGAGCAATGAAAGCCTTGGGTAGAAAATAAAATTATAAATGCAGTCAGAGGTTTGCTTGAGGTAGTAATGGTATGAGTGTGAAAAATCAAGAATAAGACCTATGGAAATGAATCCAAAAGCATACATGGTAGTAGAATAAATGAAACTCAAAAGTGAAACTGTCATGACTGAGTGTGTGCAAGAATGCCACGAGAATGAGGATAAAGTACGGAGATAGTTTTGGGCATGTTAAAAAAAAAAAAAGGAGTGGTGGTGGGCTGGTGAACGCAAGTGTATTTGAGAGGTAGGAGGAAGGAGTGCCAGGGAAGTGGGTTAATGTGTAATTACCTAAGTGTAGTTACAGGATGAGAGCTACGCTCGTCGTGTCCTGTCTTCCCAGCACTCTTTGTCATATAACGCTTTGAAACTACTGTGTGTGTGTGTGTGTGTGTGTGTGAGGAACCATGGATAAAGTACGTATTTGCTCGTGGAATGGTAAGGAACATGGCTGGGTGAAAGTGGCGTGTAAGTAAGAAATACAAGTTTCTGCTCTACTGTTTATAAAAAAAGAGGACGACTACACCTGGTTTTAGAGGTTGGGTGCTGCTGTGGATGACTGTTGTAATGTGGTTGTTTGTGATGCTATATTGTGTGAATGATAAAACAAATAAACAAGTGGTATTTTGTGTAAAATCAAATTTCTTTCACTGGGTTGGTTGAAAGTGAAAAATGAGGTAATGATGCTGAAGGAATTAAAGTGTTGCAAAGGCAATTAATTGAATGTAGATAGGTTAGAACATAGCACTTAAACTGGATAACTTAAGTCAAAGAAACCCCTTGTCATTCTAGGTTCTTCAGTGATGTGAGAGAGAGAGAACCACATCGTCTGCACTTAATGGAGTATTACAGCACAGCCCTTTGGCACTTGCAAAAAGAAGTTCAACTCTCGGCACTGGCACAGGTAATAATTTCAGAATAAGGAATAATAATGCTGTTTATTTTTATGAAAATTATTGAAAGCTTGTCAGTTGAAGGCTACTTTGAAAAAAGTATGTAGTCTTCAGTTATATATAGATATTGAATGAGGGAAAATGGGTTAACCATCAGCTCCTTGAAATTAGCATAACATTACTTAAGTAAATATTGGGGCAAGGACTAGATACATGTAATGGAAGCTGTAAGATGGCGGAGGAGGTATAACATAATGTGTGGTTAGAGGAAAGTATTTTAGGATGTTTAGGGTTGGCACATAGAATGATGTGACTGAGGGAAATATCTAGGGATGAACACAAGAGGTTAGAGGCTTTGGTAGAATACTGTATCAACATGATGGTAAGAGAAAAAACTTATTCCTTTAAGATAAGATTAAGAAGAGAAAGGCCTTTGTGTTTTTGTCCTCATAAGATTTTTCCTAACAAAAGTTGCTTGAACACATCCCATTAACAAATTTGGGATTGGCAGTATAGTGTCATAAATAAACAAGAACTACTATATTTCCAACAGTTATCCAAAGCAACACTTATCATTTCTTAAGAACTGGTAAACACTACTCCTCGTCAACTGTCAAGTACATAATGCATTCATTCCCTAAAAGCACTGGAGTTAATAAAACTGAGAAACTGTACTCTGTACAAGTGGTCAGTAAATGGAAGGCACTAATACTAGTCCTGGATGCCAACCCCAGCCACAGCACATGTGACCAATGACTCGGATGTCAAGAGATCTAATAATGCATCAGGTACAACATGCTAGGAGGAAGGGTACAGGGGCGAGACCTCACTTGTGTAGTTATTGATAAGTAAACACAAGTGGGGGTGAGGGTGTGTAGCCGAGTGGTTAGCGCGCGGGACTTGTAATCCTGTGGCCCAGGTTTGATTCCTGGTGCAGGCAGAGACAAATAGGCAGAGTTTCTTTCACCCTGATGCCCCTGTTACTTAGCAGTTAGTAAAAAGGTACTTGGGAGTTATACAGCTGTTATGGGCTGCTTCCTGGGGTGGGGGGGGAGAAGGAAATGTTAGTACAGTAGTTAGTAACAGTTGAGAGGCGGGCCGAAAGCTCAACAGAGCTCAACCCCCGCCGGCACAACTAGGTGAATACAAGCCTCCCTCCCATTTCCTTGCGGCAGCTTGTATGCATTACACTGCTGTGTGTCTGTGATACACCAGCCATGGAATGCCTCTCCAACTGTTTTAAACATACCTAGTTTATTGAAGTCTCACATTTTTTTTGTTTTCTGTCATAGTTGGTCATATAATCTGAGTATAATTCTTTTATCACTTTTACAGGATTTGGTTGAAGAAGAACGTGAATGCCCTCAGGCCTGGTGTGCTACAGGCAACTGCTTTTCTCTTCAGAAAGAACATGAAGCAGCCATCAAGTTTTTTTCTAGAGCAATCCAGGTACAGTATTTACAACATAATTCTTTTAACCTAAGGGCATAAATGTTATGAATTAAAAAAAGAAAGGGCCAAGTTACCAAGGTAGTTAATTCTTGTATTAAAACATTATTAGGAGGGAATACACGGCCATGCCTGGGATAGTCTCTTCCCCCAATCCCCCTTTTATCCCTCTTTCCCTCCTTTTCCCCTCCTTTCTCCAACTTTCCTGTCCCTCCCTTCCCATCTTCCCCCATCCCCTCCTCTCCCATTTTCTTGTTCATCTCCCTTCTTCCTTACCACAATCTCTCTACCCTCCCCTCTTTCACTACTGTTCTGGCCTCCAACCTCAGAAACATACACACACACACATTTCCTATATATTTATGTATGTATATGTGTATGTGTGGAATTACCTAAGTGTAGTTACAGGATAAGAGCTACGCTTGTGGTGTCCCGTCTTCCCAGCACTCTTTGTTGTGTAACTCTTTGAAACTACTGATGTGGTGGTGGAGGCCAAAACCCTCACTTAGCTTGTTCTAACCGTCTACCACTCTGTTTGCTAAAGAAAATTTTCTAATTATTTTTTTTGGCCCCTTTGTTTGCTTAGCGTGGATCTGTGTCATCTTGTTTGTGAAGTTGCTGATTTCAGGAATTCCTCTTTATATAGTGTGTGTTTATTTATATATATTTCTTGCCTAATAGCCAGCCAGAACTGCTGTACTTGGCCTAGTATGCAAGGTCTATGCATATTTCTTTCCAGATTGGTTCTTTTCTAACGATAATAATCTATTAGGAACATGAATTACTGACTTAGTTATGTTATATTAAGATATGTTGGTTTAGGTTTGATTAAATTTCTGTTTTGATTCAAAGACAAAAGTTAAATCACATTTAATGTAATGGAAAGCATTATTATTATATAAACAAATTATGAAAAAATATTTCAGGAAAATTCAGCTTGTTAGGCAATTTGATTTATTAGTACAACATGCATATATACATATACTGTACATTTATATTCATAAATACATATACATTCATAAATACATATATATACTTACATGTATTCAATATGGGGAGGAATTGACAATGTAATTTAAGGCCTAATAAATACAATGCATAATGAAATGGGTCAAATAAATAAAATACACAAGTAGAAGGGGATATATTTTCAGTTAATCAATAGTACAATCCAAGACACATTGGGTAAGCATTTACATTTATTATGTAACAAACATGAAGGAAATCTCAACAGTACAAGGAATCATGTTATCACATGATTTATGGCAATAGATCTAATTCACCTCTACCACAGGAAGTAAACCCCCCCCCCCCTCCCCTCACCCTCTGGTGTCGAGAAACACTGTAGGCAGGGAGCGCTACAGGGCCACACTAGGGCTTGTTCAGTATAGTACAGAGACTATTGGAAAGCAAGTGCTGAGGTGACAAAGGTGAAGCTAGTCATTAAATATTGTAGTCATGATTTTGACAAGAACCATTATAAGAGTGTAATGAGTGTTCCTCTGGAATAGTTGGAATAGTCTTCTGTTGCATTCCCCCCACAAACCTATGTTGACCCGAGATGTAATCTTCCTTCGTATGGCATTTGCAAATAGCCCTCTGCAAGTAAGTTTGCCAGAGTGTAATATCCACTGTTTCAAGGTCTAACAAATTGATATATATATACAATTTAGAATGTTTGTAGCTGTATATAAAATATTTCTTAGGCAATCGGTAAAAACTTTACTTTTGTGTTAGCACAACATATATTAAGTACTGTACTAAAATTGTGTATTTGTCAAGTCTTGCAAGCAAATACTTCCTAGCTCTTAATATTTTATCACAAAGACCATGTATTTTTGTATTTTTTATCAAATTTCTACCATATTTAAGTCTTATCTCTCTCCATTTAGGTTGATCCAAATTTTGCCTATGCATACACCCTGCTTGGTCATGAACACATTGCAACAGAAGAACTGGACAATGCACTGAGCTGTTACCGGAGCGCTGTGAGAATAGAGCCTCGACACTATAATGCCTGGTGAGTGTTGACAGTATATGGACTAAATTATTTAATATTGGTCATATTATTCCCCATACATAATTTATTAATCTGCAATTTTTACTTCATGAAGTGTTCATGCTTACTACTAAAACTATGAGCTGATAATAGTTTTTTACTGGATACCATACATGAAGTAATTGCTCATTTGAACTGATACATAATGTGAGAGTAAGGGAGCACATGCGTGTTACTGTGAATGATTTAAAAAATGTAAACACTGCTTGCGTGTTTTGGATGCTTACCTAAGTTAATCTTAGCTTTTATATTACACATCACATCCAAGCACATTGTTATAATACGAATGGATTCGTTGACTAATACAAATTATGTGTGTAGTTGTAGGCATTGGATTAATGTAACTTCTAATTAAAATTTCTTATTTTTTGTAGTTTGATTTCTTGGAGGAAGTAAATATAATGCAGTCAGCATTGTTAGTGGCAAGTCATAATCAGCCTTTGGTGTGTTTTAAGTGTATCACTGTGCTGCACAATTAGGGAAAGTATCAAAGGTTTAAACCAGTTTAGAGACAATAGTAAAGTATAGACTTACAGTTGAGTAAGATTGTTATTAATGATTTAACCTGTAAAACTGATCTACAAATATGTATACCTTTTATTATTCTTGAATGTATTTTTTAAGGTATGGTATTGGTCTGGTGCTGTTTAAGCAAGAGCGGTTTGCTCAAGCAGAGTCTCATTTTAAGAAGGCCCTCAGCATCCACCCACTCAGCTCTGTTCTCATGTGCCATGTAGCTGTGGTAAGTTAGAACTTCTTAGATTGTACCTTTACTTATCATCAAGCAATGATTAAGTCTTTGAGTTCCTATTATTTATATGATTGATCTTGGTTTCTATGGTGTACTTTCACAAGACAAGTGAAAATGACCACCTTCACATAATGTGGGAACCGACCTGTGAGATTTATATTTATTTAATTTATATGAATTTATATTTACGTTAATTTATATACTTCGATAGCAATTTGTATAATGTTAAGTGGACTGTATTTCTGCAATAATCTCATAATCTCACAAATCGATCCTCTACACATTAGGGGGGGTTTATTAAATTAATATATATGCAGCCAATCAAACTACAGTAATAGCTACATACATTGATGAGGTTCCTTCTCTTATAGTACAGCAGGTTAGTCCACCAGGTATAACTAGAGTGTAGACACCAAATTATCCTCTTTGAGGTAGCTTCTATCACCCAGTAACTGGTGCACATAATCTTGCATCCTCGTCTTGACCTGTCAAAAGTGCGCTAGCTGTGAAGCCAGAATCCTATATATGACAAGCTATATCAGAGAAAACACTATACAGTACATGGAACATTAAAGACCTGGCTTAATTACCTTTAGTATGAGGCGATTTCGCGTTCTAACCGGCTAACCCTATATCCTGACATTAATGGCCATAAATGAATGATAAACGGGTTTCGGATAGACACTTAACTTGTATTTGTAGACAGCGTGTTGACAATGGTACACCTTTGGGTTCCATAACACTACGTCCAAGTAAATTTAACAGGAGCCGAATTTGCTCCCGTGTGAGCCTCTGGTCTCAATAAACAACAATGGCTGCCCTCCTCCTCACTCTGACGCCTGGCTTACATTGTCCAGATTTCAGAACGTGATAGAAGGGTCACATTTACTCTACTTTAATATTGATAATTAAGTTAATTTATATAAGATGTTTTTATGATGGTAAAGTCCAAAGACTAATGTATTTAAGAATAATTCCCACCATAATAGGTGGTGAATTATAATAGTATGTGGTGATGATATCCCGTTTTCTTTAGATGGTAATTCCACTACAAGTTACGTTTTCTATGGGTAACTTGTTTATACAACACAGCTATTATCTGTATGATATATTAAATGCTGTCGGATTTTCCGACACCCTCTGCAGGTAGTCATTAGAAGAACACATTGGAATTTTTAGGGAAAAGTAAGCAAAATACCTCAATACAATAATACATTTGTAAATATAGTTAGGGGTAGATTGGAAAGATTGTATAATAAATGTGTACACATTCACAGTTACCTCTTTATTAAATCTTTAGCCTCAAAATAATACAAGAGACAGAGGTGAGGTCATGAAACCTCAAATTATACATTAGGTTAGTTAATAGAGATTGGAAGTGATGAAAGATTGTTGGGATGGAATTAATAACTTAGAGGTTATAGGTAGACCAGATCAAGGTCCATGAGTATATATGTCTGCAATGTATTTTTGTAGATAATCATTTGAAGCTGTGTTTGTCTGAAAAACTTTAATTCCTTTCAGGTGGAGCATGCTTTACAAAAGAGTAGTGCTGCCCTTGCTACTTTGAATCGTGCTCTGGCTGTAGAGCCTCGCAATCCATTGTGCAAATACCACAGAGCATCAATTCTACATGCAACTGATCACCACCAGGAAGCTCTTACTGAGCTGAATAATTTAAAGGAGATTGTTCCTAAGGAATCCAATGTATATTTCTTGCTTGGCAAGGTGAGGATAAATTTACTGTTATTCTTTCAGGTCTTTCAAGTAATTATTGGGTGACTAGCAGGTGTGCTCTTCTGGTTAGTAATTATCTGGATTACTTGTGCACAATTTTTGACAGATAACAGTATAGTATCACTTCAATGGACAGAGAATTTCATAGGATTTAACTATTTTTATTGGAATTTTGATTGCAGGTGCACAAAAAGTTGGGTCAAACTCATTTAGCTTTAATGAACTTCTCTTGGGCAATGGACCTTGACCCAAAAGGTGCCAACAATCAATTTAAAGAAGCAATTGACCCTGCAATCAATCGCTTTCCAGTTGATGACGACGACACCACAAACAACAACCCACATGATAACGGTGGGTATTTAAGTCAGTATCGCCATATCCTGCTGTTACTTTTAAGAATTTATTTGAAAGTTTTCAGTACAGAAAGCCTATTCTTTCTTGCATCCCTTAAATTGTTCTTGTCATTCTCAATATTGAGCCCGTGGTATTTAGTCGTTTGAATGATTTAATGTGCCTCTTGATATTTAAAGATAGTAAATAATCGATGGTTGTCATTCTAGACCTCTCTGGCAATTATTTGCTATATTTGAAACAAAACAAAGTCCGTAAAGCTTTAGCTACCTTCCTGGGCATTATTAAAGAAATTTACACCATATCAGGTGCATCACCACCCATTTACCGAGGCCTATGCGGGGAAATATTAATGCTATGCCAAATTTTCAAAACTGTTATGGGCCTGATAGATGTGTGATAGTGAGAAATTTATTACATTTCCTGACATTGGAAATAAAATTTAAACTGTAAAAAGGAAAGAAGTTTTAAGATATTGTTTTGTTTATACACGCCAAAAAAGGGTCTTAAAAAAGCAGTGCAGTTTGAGGGTTAAACCATTTCAATAATATAGTTGAATACATTCACTTGAAAGCAAGATATTAATTTTGATCACTGTACAGAATAAATATCACCAGTTCTAGTATCTTCTCATATTACAATGGTAGTGTGTGGGCATTATATATGGTTTTATTGTAGTGCGAGTCCTGCATTGGTCTTAAAAATGGACTGATTTAGGAGTTTCATCAATATTTTGTTTCCACAGGCTGAACAAGTTCTCGGCCAAACATGTGTAATTAAATTAGATATTTTAACATTTCTATTTATAACACTAAAGGCAGGTTTTTATTCCTGTGTGAAATGTTAGAGGAATAAATAAGGAACACAAGAAGCTGGAAGTGGTGAGCAGTTAAGGAAGGAAAATCTATGTGCTATGTTTATGCCAAAGTTAAAATGAGAATGAGTAAATGTTGCAAGAACAGGAATGAAATAAAATGATAGTAAGGAAAGTGTGTGCCTGTTAATAACTAACGAGTGGTATAAGCGATTAATTACATCTCGGATTACAGTTCTGTTTGTGTGCTGAATTCTATGTCACTGCCTTAATAATATATTTATCACTGAGGCATATTTTGCTATTCAAAATATTTAGAATCTCGGTTTGGGACAGGGAAAGTGACAGCTTGTGTGCACACGGGGCCTCGGAGCTCAATGATCATGTGTGGGGGGATGTGATTGCCACCAAGAGAATGCTGGCCTGTAGAGATGCCAGTGCAGACATGATATTTTCAAGATGGTAGAGATTGCTTGAAGGAGATTGGAGCACTACAAGGGTTAAATACTGAACAGCTGCCTAATGCTCTCTGTTCTATGATGTCTCTCATTGTGCCTCTTCCATCTGTGTAGACCCACCTTAATTAGCAGGTCCTTGATGACCTCCATAATAGCAACCATTTTCCCATCTTATTGTCTCTTTCACACCACCTTTTTCTTTTTCCTGGTAATATTTAGATAGACCTAAATAGTTACCCACATTCACCTCTATTCTTTGCACACCCAGTCTTCCTGTCCTTCACTCCCTCCTCCAACATAGCGTGCTTAAAGCTGTCTTTCACTATCCTGCAGTTAGAAAGCATTCCTTGGTGAACTTTGGACTCGGCATTGGCTGTTCTGTACATGTATATGCGTAGCTTAGGAGAAATACTGGTGCTAGGAAAATAAAAAAAAATTTTAATATCCAGTAAGGAGGCCTTCAGTCATTTGTGAAAGAAATTTATATCAAAGCAGAGATGCAGAACTAGGAAACAGGATTGGCAGAAATAATTTTTGTTAATGTGTTTTGGTCATTTGTTTCTCAATAAAATGCTTGATAAATCTGATACTTGTGACATGGCTTGTCTTTACTATATTTGCAGTCAAAGTTGCATCCTGAGTCATGTCTTGAAGTTATTTGTTGTCGATGATTTAAAGTAACATGGCTGAAGAAATGATGACATTTTGGTCCGTCCTGGACCATTGTCATTACACAAATTGATAATAGACCTAAATGTTGTCATTTCTATATTTTTTGGTGTGATTTGGTAATCTTGTTTGTTTCTTACTGTAAGCACTGGTGTCAGGGAGCCACCGGGGCTTACCCAGAAATTGGCATTTCGTTACATTCAACGTCGATTTTTGTGCCATATATGGTCCTAAATAGGCTTCCCGGCATGTTTTCTTTTCATACATACTTAACTGTGTTCTGCCCTTGCAAATGAGGTCACACTTCCAGTAATGCTGCTACTTCCTAGCCACACACACATTATACCCAAAATTTTTTTTTTTTGTAGTTTCCACTTTACAGTCAAAACAACGACGAATAAAAGGGATTTGAACACCCACCAATGTCATTGAAGAGTATAAATTTCTTCGTAGGAGCATCTTGAGGTACAGATGACATTGCAGACTGTTTTGAAGGCACAAACAATAATATAATCCAATAGTGCATAAACTCCAAAACTAGCAATGATGTAATCTAAATGAATAAAATGGGAAACAAACATTAATTCAAATACCAAGCTTGGCTCACGTTTATAATTTTTTGTATAAAATATCTGTTCTGTGGATGATAATCTGCAAACACCAAAGTCACGAATAACGAGGCCTTGCTGAAGCTAGTTCATTATATTTTGAAATGGAAGACATGCTTTGTTTTCAATGGTAAATTCATGTCCTGTAGTCCTTCATTTGTCTTCTCACTTTCCATCTTCTAGCTGTGGTCCTTTCTTTCGATTAAAATTATGCTTGTAGCAGCTTAGTAGATGAACATTTTGTCTGGTTTCAGGTAGTGAAGGCAGCTCCCTGGCTCCTGCAGAATCTTCACAAGAATCTCTTATCTTAGAGCCTCAACAAATGCCCAACATGGAGAGTTTGAGTGATGACAGCTTATAATAGTGGCATTAATAGGCATCACAATTTCTGAAATATCGGAGAAAGTTTTATATGTTTTAAGAGTTTTGTTATACAAGTAATAGCATCAATAGGAAGACGACAAAACTAAGATGTACAGTACATAACTGGTGATACAATGTAAATTTCGTATCAGGGAATCCATTTAAAATTCCAATTGTGTGTATATATGACAAGGAATAAGTGATACCCCTCAAACGACCTTCAGCCCAGTGGAAAAGATCTGCATATCAGTATATTGTGCATGGCTAATGCCAAATAATGAAATTGTGCTCTAGTTCACAGAAATCATCTTTACTGGAAGAGCATGAAAGTAGATTATCACTTTGCGACAATACAAATGTAGATTCCGTATGGGGAAAATTCAACTGAAGCACACGTCAGTATATATTGAGGTCCAGTTTAATAGACAGTACTGGTATGTGACCCCTTGTCAAACTAGCGAAGTGTGTGTGGGATGGATGGTGATACTGAATTTACAAGACTGTTAATTGGTATTTCATCTTGTCTTTTGTTTAATTCCTAAATATACATAGTGAAAAATTTGCCCGAGGTTTTGCAATATGTCCTTAATTCATTAATGTAATGGCTAATTAGGCAGCCACAACTTGACCACGAAATGTCTGGTAAGATGTTTAACTAAAGTGATGCCACTGTTTGTTTTTACTTTTGGTATAAAAGGATTTTTCACAAATTGATTTATAACATACTATTAACTTACGGTGAACAATGATCCGAGATAGTTTAACCAAAGGAAGTGCTTTGTATACAGATTTCAACATTGGTTTATACCTTATGTAAGAATAGTAGTGTATGAGGACTAGCAGCTTAGCAGTATGGCATTTATCCTCTTATTTCCTGGGGACCACTTGTTTGGGATGTGTCGTGTAACAGTTGTGGGGTTGGGGTCGAGTTGCAGCTGCCACTGGCATAGTATAGCATAATACTTCATGTTATCTATGGAGGTATTGACTTGCTGTTCTGTGCTGAGGCAACTCTCAAGGGTTTTTCTTTGGACTAGAAAAGATATGTAGATGTGTAAATTTTTTTATTTATATACAGTAAATATATAATATATATATATATATATTTTAATTAGTTATTTGTTAACACGAAATTCTAGTCTTAGGCTACTGTTAGGAATAAATACCCATGAAACGGTTTTCTACACAAAAGCGTACTAGCTAACAAGTGGAAAAATTTCTGAAGTGGTTAGACCTTGTTTCCATGCTTGCTAATTAATGGCTTCCTGTATTAAGAATGTTAAGAGTTAAAGGAAATACAGTATGTAATGTCAATTAAGACTCAAATATAAGCAGTTTATGTGTATGAGTGCTTGAGTTGTGATGCTGGAGTGTGCATCCACCTAGTAGATGGTTCAGTACTCAAGAGTCCAGCCTGACAGCTTCCTTGCTGTAAGAATATGGACCATTAGCAGGGAAAGCCAATGTTGTCACCCAAAATTGTATACAGTAGTTGTCAAAATCTGTATTTGCTAATTGTATTTTTGGAAGTCCTTCGTGATTTTAGTTTTTGTCAAATTTTTGGTAGGTACATGTCATACCTAGCCAGTGCATATATTTGAAAAATTAAAAAGCTAATTTCTGGTCAAGTTGTATCTCTTGAGAGGGGTCCTTATCTCTGGTGCAAGGCTTGTGTACATATGTTGAACAGTCCACCTTCCAGCTTATTATTGTCCATGTGCTGCTAATGCTGTACGTATACATAACATATTTATAAATTTGAGACCTTGGATGAAGTGCATATTTGAAGACAAATTTATGTATTTAAGTGTTGGGGAATTTTCTGTAGCCTAAGTGATTGTTTACTATTTGAATTATTTAGATGTAATTTTGTATTTGAACCTTGGCAATTTGGGAATGCATTTGTGATGTTATTCCAAATAGTGATTCAAAAATCATTACAAAATACATTACTTCAAATGTGTTAAAAACAATGTAAGCCAGAACAAGTATTGGCATTTCTAGACTTTATTAGGGAAATTTAAACAGTGGTGCGTGTAGAACCTTCCCCAAACATTTTCATTACCGACAATATTTTCATCACGAAATATTGAAATATCCGAGCATACCGGTTGTAGCTGGAGCTTACTGGCCAGCATCAGAGGCCACTGAGCAGTAATGGGCCCAGTTATGTGGCTCACATGAAACTAATATTTTGTGTTGAAAGCAATTAACATTTTTACATGTGCATTTACCATCAGTCAAAATGTTACTTAATATTTAAGAATGACCATAACATAATTGTTGCCAAAAAATACAGTATTAAAAGTTAAAAAAAAAGATCTTGCATCACTACTGGTCCAACCATTCATTTATTTTCTGCATTTATTATTATATATATATATACATGTATATATAATTATATATATTTATATATTATATATTTATACAGTACATTATTTATATTACTGAAAGAAACTTCAAGACTTCATATAGTAAAAGGTGAAAATATAAACTAATTACAGTACAGAAATTCGTGTAGGAATCATAATTTTACTGATGCTCTTAAGGTATTAAAATTTAGGTGGTAAAATATTTGCTGATGTAAATTACTTTTCTATGTTTAATTCACAGATTTCAGCGTTGCTAATGAGAGGAATGGCTACATTCTAGTGTGAGGAACATTTCAAAAGTATCATAATGAAAACTGATCTGTTTAGCTATGTAAAATTAAATCACAATCGGGTAGTTTTAGCATTAATACGCTACCGAGGGGTAAGTTAGTACATTTTTTTCACTTGTAATATGCCTTAAAAAAAGGTACTTGTATTGTTCAAGCTCTTCATCGTTGTGTCGGTTATTAATGGCTCTGCTGTCTTATTGTACTTACCTTCTTTCAGATTGTATTTCCCTGCTTGCTGAGGTATTCCTCAGTTTGTCCACCCATTTTTTCTGGATGCTGTTAACTGTCTTGTAAATGAACAAGTAATAGCCAGATCGTTGTGTAGAATTCTTCAGGAAATGCGCAGTGCTTCGAATATCTTGTAATGGCTAAAATGTCTTGGGGAAGATTCTGCATAAGACCAAACCTTTAAAGAATGAAGGTTCCCAAAGGGAGCAAGGCATCGGTGGAGATTAAAGACCTTCTTGGCTCGGCTGGAGGTTGATGAGGTAAAAGATCATTTGTGTTCCTGTACATCTAAGTTACTATGAGTATATTAGGTTACACGAGAATATGCTGTATTCATAAGTAGATTTTCTCAAGTGAACTCTCTTCTCGGTGCTAGACGGTTACTTTTTGAAAGTACAAGTTGATTTTGAGTGTGATACCAGTGGCAAAAGTGCAATGCACTTTTGAAGTTGCTTAATTTATGAATTTGGTGTATCTAAAAGTTTCTAATAGAAACGACAATCTTTACCAAATTTTAACTATACTAGTTACTGTATATTTTCAGAATAGGTTATTGGATTTGCTAAATCTTTATTTATTGTGTAAATTATTTATAATTTGCTCAGGGTAGAGGCTTAAAATGGTTTTAAAGTTTTCTGGTTGTATCTTTCGTTAAGTGTACCAAGTATACTTATTTCACGTGGCATTTTATTTTTTTCTGGGCGGTTAAAGTTCATTCACACAACATCTTGAAACTTCGGATAGCTCTTGAAATTACCACTGTTGGCATTCATCTTCCTGTCCAGGATATTTTATTTATAACATTTCAGAGCTGAACTAATAAACTGATACCTTACTTCATGCAAATTGAATGCTGAAATAGTGGTACTGAAATGGCAGTACTGTGTCAATACATGAGCAGTTTTTTAATTCTGCTGTGTAGTTTGTGCTGCCAAGATTTTTTATGTACTGTACACTTGTTTTGATGGCCTGTATCCAAGTGCAGCTATTTAATCCAAGCACAGTATCTGCCTTTTATCAGTCTATTGTGATCTTTGGCTCTGTTATTCTTTGCTGTTCAATGTAGGCTTTATTGTAGTCCTACATCTTTAGGCTTTAATATTAATTTATTGGTAATTTTTTGTATATGGTGTAGCATTTAAAGAAGTTAGTGCTTTGGTTATATTAAATCTCTAATCTTTTATTGAATTTATTAGAAGGCAAGTGGGTTTGGTGGTGATGGGGTTTATTTTGGGGAGAAGGGGGGGCTCCTCTCCACCAGGCGTATGGGAAGATTGCTTCCTATTTTCTTCAGTTTTTTACCTCTTCAAAAATGTTATGTAGTTTGATAACTAGTAAAAGTAACCTAATTAGCATGGACAATTCTTAAGACACCTCAATATATTCTTCAGAATCTCGTCTATATGGAACTAAAAGATATTGCATTTGATTGATAGTTTTACAATACACAATTTTCAGATATGATATGCAGAATAAAAATCACAGGTAAAGTTTAATATAATGCAGAATTTAACAATTTTGGGTTGTGTGTGTGTGTGTGTACAGTAACGAGTATGTTGTATTTTTAACGTCGTTAGATCTGTAATGTCGTGTCCCATTCTATATCCAAATGCAAATTTATATTTATGCAATCGTTCAGTGTTCTGAGTTAATGTGCTGGATATTCATAATTAGTTTCTTTGCCGAGAGAATTAATTAGTAAATTCAGCATTAAAATTATAGCAAATTTTTGCTTTAGTTTACTTGACATAGTATAAAGAATTAGTCTTCAATATGATGCAGGTAATTTTGCAATATTAAAGTTTTATTTTTACATGGAAAAAATTAAGGCAAAATTTAAAATCTTTTTGATTTGTGGGAGATTTAATCTTTCGAGTTTTTGTAATTTCCTACTAATTAATTTTGGAACTTGTGCCAGAATAATAATTACATTTCTTGTCTTGAAATCTTACGTGATCTTGGAGGAATAGAACTTGAGGGGCTTTATTTCCATTATGATACTCAGGGTTGAACACTCGCCAACCTATCCAGTGGAAGTGCTCTAACAATATCGTCTAGTTTAGTTTATTTACGGAAAGTTACAATATAACATTTTAACAAAAATTTAAAACCTTTCTTTATGAACAATACAAGAAAACATACAGTACTTTTCTTTATTTATGTATAAAAAGGAGTTTTAACCAGTTTTAAATATTGATTTAGTTTAGTTTTATGTTCATTGGATTTATTGATTTTTTCTGCAATACAGTGTTTATAAATAATATAAAGGATGTTTTTATGAGTGAAGTTAATCAAATTGTTGGCATTTCACATTAAAAGTGCAGTACTGTGTATTGAATTAAAAACTTGTGCAAGTCCATATTAGACTGCCATCTCCAGCCACATCATTCCTGGGGAAATGCAGCTTTATTTTAATATACGAATACTAAACAAACACGTTCGCGTAATGTTAAGGATGACATTTTAGTCTAGAATACTTGAATGTCACTACTACTTTGTTGTAGTGTACGGGTCTAGTGTTTGTTTCATCTATATATATTGACACAGTCTTCAAAATTACCATATATCTGATCATTTGTAAGGGGTACATTTTTAATATCTTGTATAGTACATGTTCCATATGAAATGCCTAAATTGCTCGCATGAACTGTATTAGTTTTGTTTGAATTCTTACCTCAAGATTTTCAGAACGTAGACAACTGCAAGATATAAGTAGTGGCAGTACTGACAATGAATTATTAGAAAGAAAGCTTCTCAACATAAAGACCTTTGGGTGACCCAAGAATATACTGTATCATTGAACATTTTAAAACGTTTTCAGCAGGTAGACCTTAATTAAGCCATCTGCGCTCATTACACATTAGCTAGCCATTTTTTGTTTTTAATTCCTTATAATAAATTGGGCAAAAATTGTACTATATTTATGAACCAGTAAACATACTTGAACAATTGCTTTTAGTTTAGACCTGTGTTATATATTAAATTTGATTGTTTCTATCAGTCACACTTTGTACAGTGCTCAGCTTTGCAAAATTTACATTAGATTCAGGAAGCTTTCCCATAAATTATCTTAACCCTTTCACTACAAGAAGCCAATGTGGTCACCAAGCAGGCTTTGGCCATAAGTGCAATAGCACTTTTCCAGTTTCCCAGAAAATTGTCCACATCCTGTAGCATTTGTACAAACATTTACCCTTCAACACACACTTTAAACTTCAACTGCAGACGACACGGTGCAGAAAGCTCCGGGATTATCTCATCATTATATGAATGGTAGTGTAGGAAAGAGGCACAAAAGTGGTGTCCCAGATACTATAAATATACCAATATCAGTAATAGATGGATTTATGTATATTGAAGAAAAAAAACATAATTCTGAGAAGACCCACTAAATTATAGTATCATTGAAAAGTGTGGTTTTCAAAACACTAGACAATAATTAAAACCAGGTGGGTAGAGTATTAGGAGAGAAATAATACAAAAAAAAAACAGTATGGTTTTAAAATGGGAAGATCCTGTATAACAAATCTGAATAAGCAATGTATCACTAGAGAAATGTTAGTGGAGTACCATAGGGTTCAGTCCTAGCACTAGAAGTGTTCATCTATATGAACAGTCTACCAGAAAAAATACAGAATTATATTAACATTTTCTGATGATACTAAGCTACTAAGGAAGATAGGAGACTTAGGTGATTGTCACAATTGTTACACAAGAAAACTTGGACAAAATAAGTATATGGAGCAACACTTAGTACATGGAATTCAATGCAAATAAATGCCATATTATGGAACATGGAATAGGAGAAATAGACCACTACAAATTATTTGGAAAGCCAATAAAGAACTTGGACAAAACAAGAGATGTAAGGTGGTTCTAGATAGGTGACCGTCACCAAAGAACCACAAAGGACATTGTGCAAGGAACATGTGCTACACTTTCCAACTTAATAATTGCTGTTAAATATATTGATGCTGAAATTAAACATGACAAGACCATAATTGGAATATGCAGTAATTGTGGTTCCCATATCTGAAGATGCATATCATTAAACTGGGAATGTGCACAGAAATGCTACTAAATGTCTTCTGTAACTGATAAACGAGCTATGGGGAGAAGTTTGAGGTGTTAAATATGCCGAAGATATAAGTAAAAAGAGAGAATATGATCGCTGTGTACAAAATAGTAACAGGAATTCTTGACACCTGCTACTTCAAGAACAAGAGATCATAGATTCAATCTAAGGAAATAAGGTGCTCAAAAATGTGAAAGTTATTTTGTAAACAGAGTGGTAGACGGAATAAGTTAAATGAGAAGGCGGTGGATGCTAGAACCTTCTGTATTTTTAAAGCATCACGTGTCAAAGTGCTGGGAAGATGGGACACCATGAGTGTAGCTCTCATCCTCTAATTACACTTAGGTAATTACAGGAGGTTGCACCCAGCACATACTCTCCTCTCTTGGTGACAAATAATTACAGTACTGTATTATATTCCAAGCGTTGGGCATTCCAGGAGGTTTTAATGCTTTCTCAAAATATTAAAAAAAATTATATGAATATTTATTATACATATACTGTACTGTATACATACAGTATATGCAATGAACCAGAAAAGTAAACTTTATACAGTAACATACTGTAATACTAATTTCTCTTGGCATTTGAATAAGTTTGGACTCCTTAAAAGTGTTAATGCACTAAAGTAATCAGATTTTTATTTTCTTTCCTTAAGAATAACTGAATCTTGAGTGTATCATTCTCATCTCTTCCCCTTATCAGGATGAATATTTGTGAAATTGCTGGTCAATTCATTCCTGCTTGTAGTACCCATCCTTTACTTCAGGAGTTTCATTATTACTGAACTAATGATAGTTATAAGCAAGCTCGGCTCACATTTCTCAACCATTAGCATTGGTACTTGCCCCTCCCCTGTTGTCTTTCCCAACACTCCCTTGCTGAATATCTCACTCTTTAAACTTTAGCACATGATTTTGATATTCATACAATGACTGATGATATTATGAAGTGCTTTGCAATCAATCTCCCTACCTACACCGTGCTTTTTTTTTTTATTATTATTCTGTATTTATAAAGAGATTGGAACATTAGGCCTGTCCCAGATACTTGTGTTAATGTTGCTGTACTTCCAGGTTAAGAAGCCCCTTGGATGGGCACTTTGGCTGGGAATTTTCACCTTATTATCAAAACCACTTTGATCTGCAACCTTTTTCAGCATATGATGTGTGCACCTTATGTAGTTTTATGAACATAACCAGTACCCCTTCACTTTCCAATTTAGCTTTGGGAAGTGTTGCAGCACTATTAATATCCAGGTCAGTTTACAAGTACAGGTACTGTATTGTATTTTCATAATACTTTTTCTGTGGGTATTGTTGCTGTGCTTTTTGATCTGGAGAAACCATTTGACAGTCCCCAGAGGTATAATATATTTTCCAATTTATATTCTTTTGACCTCCAAGGCAATTTGTCAGTTTACCTTCAAAGCTTCTTTTCCAGCTGTACCTGTAGTCCACCTTGGACTATTGTCAGTATGAGGGCATCCCTCAAGGATATGCTCTTTCCTGTCTCAACTTTGGTTTATTCTAACGACCTTACCATTTACTGCTGTGATTTTTATTTTCCTTTCTTTAGCTTGCAATCAGCAACTCATCCTGTATGATTATTCACAGCTTTATATTCTCTACCACAAACACCTGTGCTATGACTTTCAATAGCAAACACATTGTCCACTTAACACCATTGAACCTTAATGATAGACTATATATACAGGTCATGAGCCTTTGGCACCTGCTTGCCTAGGTTCATCTCGTGTCTGTTACCTATTGTACATACTGGATGCTCTAAGATACTTTCCTTACTCAGTCTTGTCACACCACCAGTGGAGTGGGTTATATGAACACACATTCCAAGTACTATCTAAACTGGTCTGTGGTTGCCCTGCATATCAGTTGTTCCGACACTTTACATTATATGGGCTTGCACCTCAGCACAGGAGCCTTTTCTTCTTTCACAACCCAGAGCCTGTGTGTGTGTGTGTGGAAATAATGCTCCTATTTATGCTTCTGCGGTCATTGACATCCCAACTTACTCTCTGTTGTAGCCTGGTAAAGTGCAAATTACCCACTAAATGTCTTTTATTTGAATGGCTGCATTGTGTCCATTCATATATTGGACATGAGTAAACATGCAACCATAGAAACATGTAAGATACCAAAATAGGAAGAATACCCACTGGGCTCATTATCACTCGTACCCACATGTAGCTGGGACTTGTTTAACTGCTGTAAGTGGAGTGTCACCTATCTCAAACAATAAGATTATTATACTGTAAATTTCTAACTTATGTTTGATGAGTGGCACTGCCCAATAAACTAACCTGCAAATTATAGTTTTTTTAGGTCCCTTTCTAGGTGCACACATTTATTTTTTTGTATTATATACTTTCATTTAGCTAATTATTTTAATTTGGCCAAAATAATGTTGTCACATTTTGAAAACTTTCAATTATTTGTAATAGATTTCTATTACAAATATCCTTCCGGCCCATAAAAGTTATTGAAATTTGGCATAACATCAATATTCCCCAGCACAAACATCAGTAAAGGTGGGCAATGCACCTAAAATGGTGCCAATTTCTTTAATAATGCCTAGGAAGGTATCTAAGGCTTTCAGAACTTTTTCTTAATATGGCAAACAATTGACAGAGGTCTCTAGAATGAAAACCATAGATTATTTGGAAATTATGAATATTAAGTCACATTAATTATTCAAAAGACAGGAGCACCACTGGTCTATCATTTGAGAATGACTGGAGCAGTTTAAGAGTTAAAATTAAATGGATCGTCTTTTTAGTAGTGGTCCAGACAATGTACTTCTCTCATGCTGCAGAGTTTTCTGTTGTTTCCATCACAAATCTCTATGGTCGCTTGTATCAAAGATGAATTCTTACAATTACAGGCATCACGCCTTGTGCACTTTTGTTCTTGTATTGGCATCCATAGTGATATTTAGCACCTTTTGAACATCCTGCACAGTTGGTGGTGCTACAAAGCCTTCCCCGCTTGGTGCATACTTTTGATAATTACTTCCTAACAAAACCTGTGTTGCCTTCCCCCAAAAATATTTAGACAGCAGTTTTGATACTTTTTGTTACTTTTCATGTGCCCAATTTCTTTTTATGGCACTATTAAGTCCAAAGGTCCTAAATATTGCTGGGGATGCCAATATGAGAGTGAAACAAATCTGTATAAGCAATATCAAAGGCCTCAGTTTCTTGATTTTTGTTTTCTAGGAACATTGGGAAAGAAAGATAAAATATCCCTAAAAACCAAGACAATGTAGTGTCTTGGCAGTGCAAGCTAAGAAGCAGTGGTAGGAAAGTAAATATCTGTTTATTTCAATTATTTCACTAAAAAAATAAAGTTGCAGAAAGTACAAAACACTATGAACATCAGTGATAGTGTCTCAGAATTGGCCATTGGCATATTCACAACTAGGCTAATGAGGTTTTCTATTTCCTATTGTAACAGTTTACTCAATGTTTAGTTCTCTAACTTAAGGGTTTGAGTGTAATTTTACTTTTAAAAATCTATAATTTTATTTTTTATATCATTATATTAACTAGAGCATTTGTGAACTTTATATATATTTTTCCTCACGTTATTTTGTTCCCTTTCTATTGTTAATGAGAATATACTGTAATTGGTCTTGTACATTTTAATTTAACCTAACTAGAGCAAGATATAGCTTGAGAACCACACCAGGTGTCTTGTTACTAACGCTGCGATTAATAAATCCAAGTGTCCGATTTGCCTTATTACGAACATTTATGCATTGATCCTTTTGTTTTAAATTCTTACTAATCATAACTCCCAGATCCCTTTCGCAATCCGACTTCGCAATCACAACACCATCTAGCTCGTATCTTGTAACTCTATCATCATTACCTAACCTCAGAACTTTACATTTATCAGCATTAAACTGCATCTGCCAATCCTTTGACCATTTAATCAATATAAACTTGTAGATGCCTCTTGGTTTCACAATATATAACTATAACTTGGATTTTGAGATTCAGTATAGCTGGGTAGTCTAGCAGACACATGTGACAATCAGTAGTGGTACATACTACCATAATTATTGGTACTGTACTGGTACTGTACATGCATTATTAAAATTCACTGGTACAGGACAATAAAATACACAATAAAAAAAGCAATTACATATTTCATAAACTACAGAAGTAAATATAAGTCTGTATTCATTGTTCCACCATCACAAAATAGAATAAGCTGTAGCAATTAGTACAATTATTGGTTCCCAAGCCAAAAACAAAATAATTTTTTTTAGTGAAAATAGCAAAAAGAATCTACATACATACATACACACATTGCTTAGCAACTACATAATTGTATGATAATGGAATATGAGTACCAGGTATAAGCCTGTAAATATTTTCTTACGTCAATTTTTAAATAAAAAATATACTCCCACAATCTTTGTCAACAGACTACTTTCTTCCCTTGGTTTTCTTTACTGGTGTCTTTGCCTTGGGTGATGTAGCCTTCTTAGCAACTGGCTTCTTTGCTACTTTCTTAGATTTCTTTCCACCCTTCTTCTTAGACTTTTTGGCAGACTTTTTAGCTTCTTGCGCACGTTTGGATTGCTGAGGCATAACTTCATCTTCATATTCCTTCTTTGCTGACTTGCCCATAAGGTATCTGCCACTCATCACCTGAATAAACAAGAATTAAACTCAAATCTCAAAATATATATATTATGCAGAAAATCCACAAAGAAATTGGAAAGGAAGATTTCTTTGTGGATTTTCCGCATACAAATGATCAGTGTTTCGCGATCGTCAATTGCATGCATGAATGCATATATATATGTATATATATATATATATATATATATATATATATATATATATATATATATATATATATATATATATATATATATATATATATATATATATTAAATATGACCGAAAAAGTAAGATTAGTAAGATTTAATCTTACTTTTTCGGTCATATTTAATAATATATGTATATAGGACAGACTGCTACCAATATATATATATTATATATAATATAATATATATACACACACAAATAGTATAAAATACAGTAATGCAAACTGGAACATGAATTACGTTTGGTCTTCATACATCCTTATATTGTGCACACAATAAATTTTAACACATTTTCTGTAAAAAGTAAGGTCTAACCTGTGTGTCCGTCTGTCCCTTTGGCCTTGCAACGGTTCCCTGATCCAGACCAAGAGTGAGAGCACGTCTCAGCATGGATTTGACCATATCAGGACGTACTGTCTTGAAGTTCTGGAGGATATATGCTTTAATAGCCTGGACACTAGAGCCCTTTCTCTCTCCCAGGTTTTCAATAGCCTCGATGATCATGTCCATCGTCTTTGGATGCTTTTTTCCAACTCTCTTCTTCTTTTTGGCTCCAGCTGCTGCAGCTGTAGGATGAACAGAAACAAAACAATGCGGTAATGTCTATAGTAGGTGACTGTAATTGGCAGATACAACACAATTAAATATGCATAGATATTGAGGTCAATTGCAGACAAGACTCTTGTGCAAAAATAACTTTTTAGTCATTGACAACTGGAACACAATTGCAAAAATTCTATGCATGCAAGAGACAAGGTTACACTTGAGCTAACACTGTAAGATTCACAATGTTAAAGCCAGAGATCTGCATTTCAGGAAAGAAGGGGGGAGATATAACAGGGAAGAGCAACCATCTTGAAAGGCATATAATCAAAGGGCCTATTGATACTGGTACTGTAGTAAAAATATAATATTTTCTGTATAGTTTGCTACACTATTAAGAAGCCAAGGAAAAGAGTAATAACCTTTAGAGTACAGTATCTTGTGTACAGAAACTGGATTAATATATTAATTGCACTCATTCAAACATGGGTGAATGTTGAATCCAGGGACTTCTACCTTCTTTGCAATTAGATTACAGATCGTAAACTCTCACCCTGACATGGCAATGAGATGGGAGTGGAGCTGTACTGTATACAGGTCACAAAATATTGACAAACGGCCTACAAGGCCAGAAATCAAAGGGTTCATTTTAATTCCAAGATAAGAGTAAATTTTAGAGATGGATAGACTGTTTACTAACGACAGTTGCAAAACTTGCCAGGAATGGCAAAAATTCTAGATAAAACACCACCTTTCCCCTTTACTCACATCCTTCGTCTCCCTCCCCTTACTCCACCTCCCTACATTCCCCTCTGGACTTAAAAAAAAAAAATTTATGTTGTACCTAGTAGCCAGAAAGCACTTCTCGGCCTACTATGCAAGGCCCGAGTTGCCTAATAGGCTGAGTGATTTTCATTATTTTC